CATGTTTTAGTTGATACTCATTATAATTTGACAATTCTGATTATTGTTGTAACGATTTTCTGTTTACTTTTCTTTCCCTTTATTCAACTGCATTAATATTATTGAGCATGTTTACAGTACGAATTATGTAAATGTTTTTTTTTCTTGTTCAATGTACAAATATCCTTGTACCCATCTTACTTGACTTTGTTTTGGTATTGGTCACTTATTTTAGGTTAATCCTTATTTATATTAATGTACTGATAATCATCTGAATTGCACTTTATCTCTGGTTTTAGATATTAGTAGCTATGTTATTATATGTAAATTCGCATTTTTAAAAATCTTAATGATTAAAGTAAATTAGCTTCATATTATCTTCCGGGGATCATCTGGTTCGAGACTCTTCAGGAAAATAATATATATCTAAGAACTAGAAATATGTCATATTTTTTCCTTAGTAATATTTACTTTCTCTTCTTAGTCCATTATAATCCAAGAATTTAAAAGCAATTAAATATTCCTAGTTTACTCTTTGTAAAATTGATAACCTTTCTTTGGTTCCTCTCCTTAGCAGGCTTTTATATTTTATTGTATGTGTTTTACCATTGTGATGTAACTAGAGGCAATTATCCGGAAACCCTTAACCTAAAGAGTTTCATCAGCCCTGGTAAGTTAGTGTCTGATAACATCTTGGAACGGATCTCGAAAGCTATCTTGACTTTTGCCAACCAAAGGATGGATGTATTGCTCAGCAGTTCCCTCTGTATTACCCTATTGAATCAGAACGTGGTTTATGAATTTTGAACAAATAAGTAGGCTGTCGGCTTTTATTCATGGGTATCTTCGAAACATTGCTCATGTATTATGCGACGATATAATGAACAATGAAACCTGTAGGCATAAGATACTGGGTAAAAATACCAAATCCGTTGGTGTTGTAATTACATAAACGCCGGCAAAAAATGAATTTACGCGTTTTTAAATGTTTGTACTCAGGGTAATTCGTTTCAGTTATTGAGTAGTTTGTGGAAAATTAGATGTATCATCTTTGGATTTCATCGTCGTTACTGACTAGCTGTTCTGGCATGATTAGTGTTGTACAATAAATCAATTTGGTTTTAATCCATCCTATGTCTTCTTTAATCATTGATTGGATTCCAAGGAAACTAAGAGTTAAGGCGTCAATTCATTTCGTTTTTTCAGCCTGTGACATCAGCAATCTTTTTATTTGATTGTGAAATTCTTCTACTGAAACGTTAGCTGTTAGGTGATAAACTGTTGTTGTTATGTGCTGTACTCTTAAGCGTCAAGTAAATTCATTGAGAATTGTTGATTGAAAATGTGAATCACGGTCTTTGGTAGTGGTTATTGGGATGCCGATGTCAGAAATATAGTGGTCGAAAAATAGTGAAGCAGTTAATTTTTTGAGTGTCATTTGCGCCTATCTGATGAAACAATTCATCACAGCAAACATGTGCGTTAATGATTTAGATAGTGTAAGAGGGACGAAAATTTCTATGTTGAGATGTTGAAAAGGTCTATCAGATGTTTAAAACTTCCCAGATGTGATGAATTGTGTTGGTGGGCCTTGCTTCGTTGACATTAGGTGCGAGTCCTTGTCCATTTTCTGATGCGTTCACTCGTCCTCGGTCAGATAAAACGCTTTGTTCTAAGTTTTACCAAAGCTCAGATACCTAGATATAATAAAACATGAAGGTGCTAAAGCAATCTTTCTCTGCAAAACATTGTAAACAAGTCGAGACTTTGAAATTTTGCTTGCTGTCTACTAAGTTTATTGTTTTTCTCGAAAATTCTGTTAAATGATCTGTATATAATCAACCGTAATTAAATAAATGTCAGTCCCAGAATTTTTTGAATATGAAGAATACCATGTGACGAAATATGTACTATCTGACATCTTGCCTCAATCTCCAAATATCCAAGTATTAGGACTACTTTGCGTGTTTCAAATTTGTTTTAATTCACTTCGAATGCTCCTGAATAGCACTAATTTACTGATGCACTTATACGAAAGGCTTGGATTATTGTATCATAACTACATGCTGTGAAACTCAATTAGAGTGACATTGTTTTGTGCCCCTTTTCGTGTCAATCATATTCATCGTATAAAATAAGTTGAAATCTGAGTTTTTTTATAACTTTTTTCTGATCGAAAAAGCATGGTTCTTTACCTTTCAATACCACTAATCAATCATTAGAAGAAATCCTAGTTGAAGTATACGTCAAAGTTCATTGTCATAACACCCAAGTAGTTATTCATAGTTTTCTAAATGTTGAAAACGTATGATTATGTATTCTCACTAGTTGAGATCATGATATAATTGAAGCTAAACCACCATGGAAAACCTGGAAACACTGGATGGCCGTTTCGTCCTGTTGTGGGACTTCTTAGCAGTGTGCATTCACGACCCCTCCCTGCGAGATTCGAACCCAAGACCTATCGGTCTCGCGCGCGAACGTTTAACATCTAAACCACTGAGCAAGCGTCCAACGGTGTTAATGTCTAACTTCAACTAATCCACCATTGTCATCAGTGAGTTACTATCTCACAATTTACTCGATTAAACTCTACTGGTCACTGCTTCTCACTAGAACTCCAGGATATACATCTTTATGCCAGTCACTAGTGAGAATATGTTGATTAGTATCAGAAGGGGTCTTGTGGAGATTGTAGCAGTGTTTCCAGGTTTTCCATGGTGGTCTAGCTTCAATTAACTCATGATCTCAACTATTGAAATTACTACAATCTCCACAAAACCCCTTTTGATTATGTATTCATGATCTGTTACAAAGTTTTAAAATCATCAGCTGTTTGTCTGAACTGTGTCGATAGTTGTTAAAGTTCATTAAATAACCGTAATCTTTTTTTGAGTTATTTCAAATGAAAGAACTCAGAACCAGTCATATTGACCAAGCTCAAATCAATAAATATTTAAGTTTTACACTGATTGTTTCTGTAAATGTCTGATTACCAATTTATAATTACCACGATGTCAGTATCTAATATATATTCATAAATTGTTAGTGTAGATCAATAAAGAGTGAATAAACTTTATTCATATCGCCGTGTTTAATGTATATTGCTGTTTAGAGTAAAATTACTGAGTATGAATAATGATAGAACATATGTAATTGTACTAAAATTTCTATTAAAAGGTGTACACTTATTTTTAATGTTATCTGTCAATCAGTAAAATCTAACACAAATGTACATTTGTCCCAATCGTCACATGTATTAGCTCAGAGAAAACAAACGAGAGTACAAATTAAAGTTCTGAAACCCCAAAAGGTCATTATTATAAGTGTATAGAACAGTTCAAAAAGACCAAATGATGAAATTGACGAATAAAATTAAAGATTTAGAAGAATATAAAAAAGAAATATAAAACGGTAAATGCTGTGCAGAATTCTTTATGAGGTTGTTATATTCAGTACTGAACAACTAACAAACTATTTTGAAACAGTCTTATTTTTATTTGATTTTCTATATCCATCTTTCTTAATAATAAATGCTAAACAATCACAAAAGTTCAAGTCACTAATCTTGAACTCTTGTTGTTAGCATTGATCAGCTGTCCCCAAATGCCCTGGTACGGCTGAGGGTAGGGAGAGTCTGCTCTCTCGCAAAGTGCTCACACATGTACAACCAATGCCTTCTCGCGAAGGGGATGTTGTTTACGAAATTGAAATGACTAAGAGCGAATGTTCTGTGCTTTAACCGGGTTGGTGGATATGGAAGATCCATTTAGGGGAGTTGGAAAGCCCTCATTCCAAACCAATGCTGAACATGGACTCTAGAATCCTGAAGGAACAAATGGCGTATGAACCAATCGTTGATCACCGGCTACTATGAGACTGCATCTCCTTACGTTGCTCTATTACCTTGTGGATTAGACCCTTAGGTCGAAGGCTCCGGGTGTGGCACCCTAAGAAAACCACGTGCTTCGATCTGGGCACCCGAGCAGTATCACAGCTCATACACAAATCAAGTGACTTGTATGGCGCATATGTATTCGGTGCCCCTTTGTACCAATATATGTGTTCAAATAAAATAATATAATGAACTGCCCATCTATCTTTCCATCTATTTAATGATAATTTGAAGTAACTCATATACTAACTATAAGTTTATGTACTCGACTTCGAGGTGCATTATGTATTTGAGCTTTTACTTATTGTCCATTTGTCGAAATCAAAATAGGTATCGTGGATTTCTCACCTAAAATCTATCCAGTCAATTGCTTTAACTAATAAGACACGGATGTCATACAGTATTATGTAGACAGTCTTTTGCTTTACGTGAGCGTTCAAAATGAGGTATAAGAAAATATTTATTTCTAATTTACTCTGGTATTCAATGAAGTTAATTTCCAGAAAGATGCATTACTAGTAGTAATCAAATCAGTAATTTCATGTTTGAATGTAAGTCCTTTATCTTCTATGATAGTGATTGAAATAATTAAATTGAGAAAAGCAATCAAGATCATTAGATAATATGGAGTGACTGGCGTAGTGGTGAGAATACTCGCTTTTTAACTGACAGGTCGTAGGTTCGAATCTTTCTTCGCCTACTTCAGTTTTTGCAGGTGCGTATTATCAATATATCTCAAGTAAAAGAAGTAGCTCATGGCTGAGTATATCTTGAGGGAACTGATGCTCTCTGCCAGATTCTATCCCGTGATCAATCAGTTGTAAATCTTGGTTATTGATTGTTTAATTAACCTGTGCATGTCTCTTTTCTTCCTAAGGATTATCACCAGATTTAGATTGGTAATGAAAAAAGGATAGCATGCAAAATAGTACTCTCATCAATAATATCCAACTTCCGATGAGTTCGTACCTTGATTTAACTAAATTGTAAACTCTCTAGTTGCTTCATTCCTGAAACGAAGGTTTCTTACTCAATAAACACACATTTGGTTTAGTTTTGTCTTTTTTTTAAATCGTTGCTTCTCCACAACTGTTCATAAATTTTCCTGATTTTCCTTTTAATTCAGCTTGGGATGGTCACTTTATCCTTATTTCGTACAATATTAAGCTTTCACTGTGAAGATGTTATGTATGAGTTAATATTCAAGTGAGTTGATTTATTTAATACTCTTAATAGATTTCTTAACTATTATAACTTTTTGGTGAGAATACTAAGAATTCACTATATGAATTCTGACATTTTCATACCAAATGTTCTCTCTGGACCATCTATAGACTCCATTGTTACAGACATTTATGCTCGTTTGTTGTTTACTCTACTAGGTGTTTGAATATAAAGTACCACATCATGGATTCGAAATTTCCTGTAACTTATTTCAATCTTGTGTTATACGTAAATTTTCAGTATAGGGTTGTGGAGATTATTAATTTTTTGATTGAAATCATGAACCGACTGATGTTATATCACAATTGAAAACCTGGAAGCACTGGACGGCCGTTTCGTCCTATTGTGGGACTCCTCGGCAGTGCACATCTACGATCCCGCTTGCGGTATTCGGACCCAGGGCCTTCAGTTTTGCGCGCGAACGCTTAACCTCCAGACCACTAAGCCGGCATCTAACGGTGTTAATGCCTAACCTCAACCATCGTCCAGTGCTTCCAGGTTTTCATTGGTGGTCTAACATCAATCGGTTCATGATCTCAATCAAAAACTCGTAAATTTCACCTAACATATGTATGACTATAAGTTTTGTGCACAAAAATCAGTTCAATGCAACTTAAGTGTCTATCATTTTGAATCACTAAATCTCATGATTAGATTTTTGCTTCATTTACTTTATTTAAGTTTTTCGGAGTTTAGTAATAAATTGATGAACTTATCAGGAAATGTGGGTTTTCTTGTTGTTTGTTAATAAATGTTACTTATTTTTGGTAAGGATAACTTCGATGTTTACTTATTCTGTTACTTAATTTAGCATGCTTCCAGATGATAAAGATTGCTATTAGTCCTATAAATATGCTTGCTTTTTGTACATTTATGAATCTTGAAGTAAAACTTTTCTCCTTACTTTGCGTTTTTTCTCTACCATACTGAGCTCAAGTATGAGAGAAGTCTACAGATCTAGCAAGTCAATGTCAAGTAATCGAGTTGTGGACCTATCACATATCTATAATAATACAATCATAATTGATAATATCCATGATATGTAAATTTATATCGTTTAGCGGCGGATACAACACCAATATTACTCTTATGGTATTTCATATGGTTGATGAACTTGACCATGGAAATCTAGTTATATTTTGCTTCACAAAAGCAGGTGTGAGATCCATTTTACTGTTTGTACTTTAGTTTATTGAAAGTGATCGTCAAAAATAAACAACATATATATACGAATAATATTGCTTTCATAGATAACACTACTCGTTGATCTTCGTCAGATAACCATTAGAATCCATGAAGCACTGGACAGCGTTTTCTTACTAGTATGGGTCACTCATTAGTCTCCATCTCACCTGGGGATCAAACCCAAGACCTCCCCATCGTGAAATTTAGAACAACGCATATTAATGAAAAACACTTCAATTAGATTTTTATCAGGCTTTGATGTATGAAGTTGTTGAGACTATTGAATGTTACTGAGATCACGGACTGATTTCAGTTAGCCAACGAACTGTTCAATGCTTTTAGTTTTTTAATGGTTGTTCAACTTTGATCGGTTCCCGATCCTAACAACGTTTAATATACAGTAATATTTATATAGATACACGAAAACCACTGAACCCATCAAAGCAGTTTTTAAGTCAATAATAGCAATGAAAAAGGTCTATTTAACTATTCACATGCGATCAGTACGATTTCATAGTAAGATGGCAGTTGTACTATTGATGAGAATGATGACAGTTTGAGTAGATATTTAAATATCCAAAGCTGACCAAAAACTGGCAAAATAAATAAATATAAAAATCATTAAGAAACATAAAAATTGCGTAGTAAGAAATATGCAAATAAGCAGTATAAATATATATGGATAGTGAAGAATAAATAAGAAGTGCAGTGAAGAAAAATAAACAAACTATGGATGTTTGAAGTAAGGTCGTTTGTTAAGTTTTATCAGAACAAGGAAGAGACAAGCATATTACAAAGCTCCTCTGACCTCAGAATCAGGTTGTTGTCTTGCATCTCTTAAGCTCCTGCTGCATGTAGAATAAAAGATCGAACGTCGGCGGAAAACGAGGTTATATGGTCGGTTACTTAAATGATTTAGTCCCATCTACCACATGACCACGGTCTACCAATTGAGATAAAATGGGGTTGCGTGTTGTCCGTATTTGATTCCTTCCAAACCATCCAGAGAAATCTCTCATTTGCTGGTAGTCTCTTAACACAGACTCACTAAAATACACGGTTAAATAGATGTGTTTCAGTGTGAAATTTGTGTACTCCATGATACGGTTGATGTCAGTTAATGTAGGGGTTAGACTGAATAGTTTTTTCGTATTACTACGTCACAATCTCATACAAGATCAAACTTAGTATTACTAAATCTCAGGATAACCACTATATTTGTAGAACACAGAGTTGAATATCAATAATCATCCGCCTTTTGTCAACGTCAGTCAATTGGCCATAGTATTTCGCGTTGATCATTTCCAAATTATATCAATCAGTCTTTAAAGGAAAACTAACTTGAAATTTATTATAAACCTTCACTTGATGAAATAAATTTGAATTACTACTTATTAAACTTAAAGATTACTAAATTACTTACTATAGAGTGTTGATATCATTGACTCATCTGAGAAGTCTCATACTAAAGACAATCTATTGTCTAGTGCTTCCTAGTTGTCTGATTAAGTTCAGTCATGTGAACTTTTTTTCTATTGCTAAGATCTTAATCTTACATTTAACAATGTTTCAATGGTTAAGATGATGAGTCAGTTGAAGCTAGATCACTATGGGAAACCTGGAAGCAGTTGACGGCTTCAACTGACTCATGATCTTAACCATTGAAATTACTATAATATCCACAAAACCCATCTGATATTTAATAATATGCTTAATTATTAACGTAATTAATATCTAAGTGATGTATACATTGAATTCATTAATTGACTCACCAATTGATCATTCCAATTACAACAAACCCCTGTCATAGCGATTGACTATTATTAAAAAAGAAATTGATTGAACGCTATTATGATCGTGATCATTGTAGATTATATACATAATTTAAATAAATATAGAATATCTAAAAAGATAGTTAACAGCTTGAATATATATGGATAATTTTATAGCTTGTTAACTAATAATAATCATGTGTTTCTTACAAGACATGTGCTTTTTGATCAAACAAACTTTTATGTTCCATTTTTGTGATATGGATTTTGAAATTGATTTTTTCTCGCGCGTACACACACAGAGAGAGGGAGAGAGAGAGAAGGTGTTGTTTATATGGTAACATGTTTTCATTTTTCATTGTTGATGATTTTATAAACAACTAATGAAAATAAACATGATAGTGTTATACAACGAGAACAAAAATGATAGTAAATTAGTTCAATATTGTTACATGTTTCATGAATGAACTCGATCAAATTGTGTTGAAATAATGGTGAAATAAATTAGATAGTTTGTAAGATTATAAAATGTAGTGGTCATAACTCATAACAGAAAAGATGAAGTTATCCTCAACATTTTCAATGTTGATTCATTGTGTTGTGTCCATCAATTTCGTCAATTTTTTCGTTCATTTCGTCGGTGTGTGCTGCATGTTAGAGTGTAACTTTCACGAAAGATTTCACTTTAAGCGCCTAGAAGTATGTATCTGTCATTGTCATTGTAATCAGGGCTAGAAAAATGAAATCTTTAATGAAAATTAAACTTAAATATGCACAGCTCATCGATTAAGTAGACAAGAAAATGACTGAAAATACTGGATATAGCAGACTTATTGGACACTGAAAACGTTGCGAATAACCTTCAGCCGAATGAAAATAATGTTATCATTTTATTACAGCGAATAAAAGATTTTTTTGAAATTACTTCGGGTGCATGTCATAGGGCTTCTCAAATATCTGTACCCACCATACAAAACATTTTCGAGATCAAGTGTATTTTTTAACACAATACTTGTTCCGTCCTACCTAATTGGTGAGTTCGTGTCCCGCTTTCAGGTTGGATAACATCTACTGATTCTGGTTACTGACTAGAACTTCTAATTCATAACCAATCACATAATAAAGTTAAATAATCATCTGTTCATATTCTCATATCTATTTGTCATATTTTTGAAATCGTTAATTTTATTTTTTTTACTCGCTAGTCTTCCTATTCACTTCCCTTTCTTAGGCATTTACTAACTTTGAATCATTTAGATTCTGAAAGGTTTGATTCTTCATCAAATGGATGTTATAAAACTCTACTGACTGGATCTGCATTATGTTTATCCAACAATGGCACAACACAACAACCAAAACTACTTTGGTCTACTTCACCACGATCAGCCGTTAAACATACTACTTATTATCATCCTACGGTGGATCAGTTAATCCCGCATCTTGTTAAATCAGCTGAATTATTTTTATCATTAGCCAATACATCATCTTGTAGTGATAAATTTTCGAAATCCAGATCTCAGTCAACAACAACAGATAATTCTGAAGTTGGCACTACACAATTAAAGAACGAGAAGAGGCCAAAATCAAGTATATCTTACTGGTATGTTGATTTTTTCTGATGGCATATACTTCTTTTTATTAAATGGTTCGACTTCAGCTACTACTTAGAGATGAGATTGGAGATTGTCTGTTTTAATGAACCGATCAAGTTATGTCGGTCGGACTACTCGTTCTTTTAGGTCCTACCATCTCAGAAAGGTCAGTTGCAGAGTTGTAAGACTGCAAGCAGAAAAATGAAGTTTGAGGATGACATCGTACTTCTGACTGTTTAAAAGCTTGACTGCAGTGATGTGTTTCCCTTCTATCTAGCATCTGCATATTTGCTGCCTCCGCACAACTGAATAAAGTGGTTAGAAAAAGTGGGTTGTTAAAAAATAACAAACCTCATTTCATCCCTGCAATAAAGCCTTGAAAGTACGAAGCTAGGACATATAAAACTACTCATGAAAAGGTCATATGCAATCAACCTCAAACAGTTATCCCTCTGGGGTCACGTTCCCAAGCAATCAAAGCCACCCTTATTTCAATTTTCCCATATATCTCGATAAAAAGTATCTCTCTACGGTATGTGCGAATAAGAAGCGACAACTACTCACACACCTCTAGCAGCACTCAAGATCATCAGCTCCAAAGAATTGGATAAGACCACTTCAATTATCCTTCCTACTCGAACAAAGACATGTGGGCTGAGTCATTGAGTAACTGCATAATCTAATTCTTTCAATAACATGCCTCGTTTATAATTTCCCGACTATCCTTTGACCCTGAGATGCCATGTGAACACAGACACGTCAGAAGTTTGTGTGCTCACACAGCCTTTCAGACTTGAACTTATTATCAAATGCCTTAGACCGTTTTAAAAAATTAATCACCGCCTCATTATAATATGCTTTATTATTTCAAATCGTATTTATCATTATAAGTGTGTCAATGTTTGACAAACAGATAGTGTCGGATCTCACTTTCTCACTTCTTAAGACACCTCTCTGATTACTTCATCATTATTTTAATAAGCTTATTTATTTGCTTTATTTCTGAAGAGGTTCTAATTACCGTTACACTCAATAGATGTTTGTCTAAGTAACATTCTCTTAATCTACAGAGCTTTTGGTGGAAATATGACTTTGCTTTCTGGGTTAGCTATGTCTAAGATAAAAAGGTGTCTATTTTCAACAGTTTTACTTCAGACAATGCTAATATAGACTAGACGATTTGCTTTATATATATAATGATATGTTCTCATTTTATAATCTTAAATCATTGTTTCGTCGTAATAGTCCTGTCGAAAAACTATGTAATGTTTCGAAAGAAGTCATATTCAGTGGTCATGGAGACTCTATACCTACAATCGATCCCTTAACAAGTTTAAATCGTTCAAACAACTTTAATAGCGAATCAATCGATGATGATGATGATGATGATTTGAACAAAACATTAAACAACGAATGGGTTGTTATTCGTACAACACCACTCCATCCTATTTTAGTGGCTAATAATTATCCAGAATTAATAAATTATATTAAAAATGCCAATTTACGTGTATCACGACGACGTCAAGCTTTTAAATCATGGCGTTCACAGTATTGGCCAAAAATGATTGAAAATAATAAAGGGAATCAATCTGCAACATCGTTAGTAAAAGATGATAATTTATTAGAATTACAAGAGAAACGATCACGTTGTGATTTGTATAGAACGATCCATTCGTCGAAATATACAAATAGTAGTGGTTGTGTAACACCGGACTCAATGCCTAATGGATTGTCAGCTAGAGATCGTACAAAATTTATGCCAGACATAGTCGACAGTGGTAGCAAAAACGAATGGAACAGTGTATGTGATGATATGTCATTGTCATCACCATTGTTATTGAATAGTTTATCCAGGAAACATACTTCATCTTTATATCAATTAAATTATATAAATGATTCATCAGATGATGAAAGTAATCAAGAGAATATGAAACAATCTAGCAATTCAAATACTACTGATAACGACACGACTCTTATCGCTGTTAATAATGTTGAGTCGACTGTCTCTGAAACTGATACCCTTAATAAGACAATTAATTCACGTTCGCCAACTGATAAACAGTTATCCAATTCTTGTTCAACAGAATCATTTCATTCAACAACTATGGACAATAAACAACCACAAACACAATCATCAGTATTTTCGACAACATTAAAATTGGACAATCATGAAGAAGGGTGTTATAACGCAGGCTCTAGTGTACCATATAATCTCACATCCACAAATTCTACACCTTCGTGTACTTGTTTATCAACGTTACCGGATTTGCTAAGATTAGCTCATCTAGATCCAAGTATAGAATTACATAATGGTAATGTCGTTTCATGCACCACCACAGTGTGTACAAAAACTGATTTTAATGAAAGACAAGAATATGAATTAGAGAATTTTTTAGCTGCATTAGATTGTTTACCATCACCAGGACGTTGTACAAAACATTTTGGACATTTGGCACCATTTATTTCCTACAGCAAAATTGATGAGGAATTTTTTAAAAAATTGGATGATTATATACATGAATTTGAAAATTCAAAAATGGAATTTACTGAAACAGATACTGTTAGTAGTACAACAAAAACTACTACTGTAACTAAGAATGATAATCTTAGTCATAATTGTAGTGATAACGAAGATGAGGGTGACAATAATGCTGAGACGAAATCTCGACTCTTACAATCTCCTCTATTATCTTCGTTAATGGTTAGATCATGTAATGATGCTTTGGATTCGATATCATTAAACAGACTTGACTCAATACGCCAACAACAATGTCAGCATTCAGGGAGTCATAGTAGTTGTAGTAATCATTCACACTTAACAGATTTCTCTTCAACTTCATCGACGCAATCTGCGAAACATTATTCAAATTCAGTTGGTGTCGCTGGCGGTATAGGTAAGTGTGGTGATAATGATTGTAGTTCAAATTTATGTCATGATGTTAAATATTAAATTAATGACATGTAATTCAATACTCACTATAAATCTCCTGCATTAATCAGATTTGAATCTTCCGACCATTGGTTAAAAATCAGACATTCAAACCACTGAACAACAAAAATACATTCAAGTGTGACTTTTAGTATATACTATTTACAATCCTCGATCATTGGTACACAATTGCCTTGCTTACATTTATGTATAGGGTTCGAGACAGCCATCTGAAACCTTATAAACTACCGTTGTCATATCCTAATTACGTAAGAGCTGTTCTGCTCTATTCCTCGTGTTAATTATCGAAGTATAACGCGGTAATCGAAGGTTATGTATTTTATATGTCGTGGTTATTACAGGTGCGAAAATTTCAACAAATGATTTGTATCTTCCACAGAGCACTCTAAACAGCAGCACTCATGAGCTAAATAACTTAATAGTTGAGTTCATGGGTCAATTAAAGCTAGACCACTATGGAAAACCTGGAAGCACTGGGCGGCCGTTTCGTCCTAGCATGAGACTCCTCGACAGTGCGCATCCACGACCCCCGCGCTCGAGACTGAAGGTCCTGGGTTTGAATCCCACTATCCTTTTAAGTATACTTTTTCATTTTGCCTTTTCGTGCCATATTCCTAATGTTTAATTTCTTTCATAGTCGTTTCTACTAAACTATTTAAATCTCGTTTGTGATTTATCTCGTTAGTTTTATCTCAGCATACCAATATTATATGACAGCTTCAGCTATCGCGTATTTGTTCAAAGTTCTATGTTGCTTATGACTAACGATACATTGAGGCAATCAGGAACTGTATAAATGACAACTGCACGTGGTTGGTCAAGAAACGGCTTTCATTTCTGAGGAATGAGAAATGCATCTTTGGTAGCTTAATTTTCTCATCTATATTCCAAATCAGTTAATCAACAAATTTCCTTTCTCACTATCCGTAATTTCGCTTAAGTAATAGGTTGAACTTGTGCATAGGAAGATTTCGTATCACTGTCAACTCTCAGGCACCATATCTCACAACAAAGAAATAATGAAATATTAAAGCTTCTAACTGCAAAATATTGTGGCGTATGCTACCTATTTTGATAGATATAAGTAGTACATAACAGCAATAGGAAGTGAAATGCCTGCCAGCAGATTGAAATAAAGAAAACATGAAGTAAATTGGAGAGCAATCGAAATAGCAACAGAACTAAGGGAATAATGGAGTATGTAAAGTACAACGCAAAGATGTGCAAATGATGTTTTTAATGTGTGATTTTCATATTTTATCAAGTCATTATGTGATTTTGTGGTTTTTCTCACCTGAGTTTTCATCTACTCCAGCAGTACTATCTCAATATAAAATGCATTCATTCTCATTACTTAAGCATTATGCTTTTTGAATTTGTTTTCTTTTTTCAATTAAAATACTAGGTCCATTTTTATCCATACTCTTAAATCGTTTGGCTAATATGCACAATAATTGTTTTTTCACTAATCTCCTTCTAACTGATATATTTGCTGCATTGGCCTCTTATCCATGTCCATTATTATATGAATACTTATTGAATCCAATTGGTTTAAGTATAAAACCATCTGTTAATACTCTTTATAAAGTATGTAATACCAAATATTTACTGTATTTTTCTACCGGTATGAATAAATGTAACTTTTTGTAATTGTGTGTTCTGTTTGCTCACGAAGGTAGTAAGTAATATAGCCTGAATTCGTAACAAACACACCTAAATATCATAATCTTATAACGAACCATCAACATTACTCCCACCTGTCACCATGAATTTGCAGTTTTTCACCGTTTTAAATATACATTTATTATTATTTGATGATCAATTTATCCAGATAGTTTATATATATATATATACGATTGTACAGCTTGATAATAAATTCGTTGAAAAGAGATCCCTTCGCTGAAATTCGTGTTTTAATTTTATTTATTCAACATTTTTCAGCGATTTACTAGGAAGGGAAATAGGCCGACTTAATAGTGAAGTATTGCTTTGAAGTTGTCATTCGTCTGTACTTTCATTTTATGCCGTTTACTGAATTAATGATAAGGGGTGAAGTGGTTGAGTGTATTGTCCCCTTTTATCTTGAGGGTTTCATTTTCGTAGTGGGCTGGTGTCTAACGAAGTTTCAGAAAGATCGACTGGCTTTTGCCGACTTACGTCACTTGTGGCGACGAATTTATTGTGTGGCAGTTCGCTCAGTTTTAATTTGAGTGTAAAACATGACCACTAAGAATAGAGGATATTCGTAGGTTATTAGTATTCGATCATTAACGACTTCTTAACATTGCCCGTGTATTTTTGGACCACTGAGTAGGCGATGTCAGGGTTAGGGATAGGGTATTACGTTGATTTGAACCATCTACCAGGTAATTTATACATCTAATTTCACTACAACTAGTGTTGTCTGAGAAAAGCCTGACACATTAGTTTGTACTTGGTAAGTTTACATTAAGGCATAGCGGTTATTTATTTAGTGTTGTAAGGAAAAAAGAATCTTTTTTGATTGATGTTCACTGGGACACTAGATTGATCGTCATGCTAGATCACTTGGCAAACTCGACTCAATTATCTAGCCAATAATCAAGATCCAGATTAGATAAGAATGTAAATCTATTACTATAGAGTTAAAATCAGTAAACGTAGGGTCACTCAACTTTACACAATAAAGTAGTCTCATAACTGGATATATCTACCATTACTTACTAGGCAATCATCCGGTGTTTTACATTTCTAAACTTCAACCAAATGTATGGCGATTTAGTATTCCAAGCATTTAGTTCTTGCTACAAGGCGACTGATGTTTGTTAAAATATTTTTACCAATCCAACTTCCTTAAATCTTTTTAAACTTTGTGCATCACTCTCTTCATTATCCATCGTGTTCAGGTGCTCCGATCTGTGCATAGTCAAATTGTAGTCGCTTCGGAATCTGTTGAACAATGGAAATCACTTGTGTTTCGTGCGCGTGTTTATTTAAATATTGTCTGGCCAGGTCCTTTCAAGATGACAATTGATCCAAATTTTTATACAACAAGAGAGAATTCACAACGTACTAAAACTAAAAGGATGGCAACAACGACAGGATATAAATCAAATACTACTTATAATAGTAAAAAAGGTACGTTAGCTGTTATGACCTTGGATGTCTGGTTTTTCTATCACGCGATTTATCTACCAATCCGAATACGACTTATACGAATCTTCACACTAGGCCAACCAATGACGTTCAACCGGTGTGGGCAGTTTAGCGTCCTTATTGGTCCTATGTCCTACGAGCCCTTCCACTTGAGTCCAGAACAAGATACCAGCTTCCGAATCAGAGCAGATCGTTTGTTTCAGGCATACTCGGTTTATATATCAATCAGACAGACCGCAACGTACCATAAAATGGGAAATAATATTTGTACACAAATAAGCCCAAAAAGTGGCTGTGAATGTGGGAGGCAGTAGCTAATAAACTGAACATAACTTAAGAACCGTAAATCGTACAATAATAAGTTATAGGTCAAAATAAAGCTTATCATAAAAGGAATATAAATATACATAGTGTATTGTTGAGTAGTTATACAATAAGAATATTTATAGAATATTAGTCCATGAATAGTCCTTGGAATTTACCTGTAATTTAATCTTCACCGGATATAACATTAGCAATGTGTGGATTTGTGTGATTCAACAACTTTAGTGTTCTTCAGAAATATATCCACCGTCTTAATATCGATAGTGACCACAACGTCTAAGTAATACTAGTGTGTTCAGAGCGATTTACAATTGTTCACTTTTCATTGCGAATGTATATTTTCCAATGATCTTTGATTAGTTGATAGGATCTGATAGAAATATGCATCAACAGCTCGAGACGACAGACTCTTCACATCATATTCTGGTGAACTCTACACAGTTTAGGTTTCGTGCTAGTTTGTGCTCATTAGCAAAGCGTAACTATAATCTTGAGGGGACGGATAACCTCTAGTCGGTTAGAACCCGAGTGATTTAGTTTTACACTCTGAGAGATTGTCACTGAGCTATTTGGAGAGTGACTAACGTCTTGTACGACTGAGAAATATACACTGACTAACCAACCTGCATAGACCATTACAGATATATATAGAGAAGGGAGATCAACCAGACGAAATTGAATGACAGTGGCGAAGCAAATATTTGACGTATACTTCGAAACAAATTATGGATCATTAAAAAAATTAAATACAGTTAATATTCTCAAAATTTGGAAAAGAATGTACTTGCTCCAATGTGACATTTCAAATCATATCACCTATGGTTTCTAAGCACAGCTTACAACTGTCATGATTCCCAAATATGTGGTTTGCTTTTTCTGACGTGACTCGTTTCACTGTTTAACGAGTTTATGGATTGATGTTCACGTTTGACCGTTCCCAACTTATTATTATGCTAGCCAGTCCTACATGTTTGTAGATGGTGGCTGAGCCATGTCTAAAAGATATTGGAAATATTCTTTATCGTGAAACATTCACAAGTTTTTAGCAAAGTTGAATTTCAGCAAGAAGTGGAATCCGCGACGCACATTTCATCCCATTTGAGACTCGTTTGCTGTGTGTACCTGTGCGTTCTGGATATCACTACTTGTCTGATACTAAATATATTAAAACTTATGATTTAACTGTATACAACGCAGTTAGCTCATGAAATTGTTAGCGACTGATCAATTGCAGTCCTTAATTACCAATAATTAAAAGTTGCAAACCATTAATACTCAAGAAAATTGGCTTGTTGACAGACTTTGAGAACGTTTAAAAAGGTGGGAGAAAAGATTTGTAAGACTAAAGGTAATGACCGTGGTTTAAGAAGAATTGGTTGATGGTTTTTTATACATAGATTTCCTACACTTACGGGAAAGGCTCTAGGTATCACTCAATTCCCCTTTTATTTAACATTTCATTTAAATATTTTTCTTTTATTCACTGTATTGGCTAAATACTTTATACATTATCCCTGCTTAAATGCGATTTACAATAAATATCAAAGTTGACAAACTAACACTAATTCATTAAGTTTTTTTTATTGTATTTAGGTGTATCTGAGGTCAAGAAAAACATTTCTACCTGTTTATCACAAAATTGTCTTCCTACAAATTCAAATCATCATTCACCTTTGAATACTGTAAACAAAGATTCACTTCAACATGTTATTCCACTATTGCCTGTTACATATCCATTACCAGTGAATAATGATAATAAAACTAGTTCAGAACGTTTACATCGTAGTTCTGTCAGTGGTGGAAGTATTAATTTAAATTTACGTCATAGAAGTCGTAGTCGTGTAAATCAATTTTTAAATTTAACAAGTCGTATCGGTTTAAGTCCAGTATTAAAACGTGCATCACTTCATCAAGTTAATCGTACATCTATTCCTTCTTCTTCTTTTAATCAAGATTATACCAATAACAAATTTAAATTAACAAATTCAGGATCTGATGAAGAAGTTGATGTAAATGTGAAACATTCAATGGATAATGAAAACATTAATAATAATAATAATAATCCATTTTATTCAGATCCAACAACAGATATTTCAATAAAAACACGAAATTTAGTATTTGCTTCAATTATTTTTGATGAATTCTGTTTTGAACTAGCTGCATTATGTTATGAGCATAGTTTAAATTCTGATATTCATTTAACTAAATAAACCAAACAAAATTATACTACTTATATTAATTATCATTGGATAGTAAGTAGTATTATACATCATTATTATTAATTGGCTATTTTAAGTGATTTTATTCATTGAAATTTACATTTACGCATATAATTCAGCTCAGATCCCATTCATTCATCCATTCATTTAGAAAGTATTGATTATACCTGTTATTCATCATCGTATTTTCTCTTGTCGTCCATGAGTGCTTGTTTTTCTCTTCTCTTTGTTTTTAATTCACAGTATATTTCCTTGTTGCTAAACAAAAACTCTCTACATATTTAGTTACGTTTTCCATGTTTTTCTCTTTTTTTTCTTTCGAATTTACCCTTTTTTGTAAAAATTTTCAGAAGTTGTTTATCTGATTCGTTTAATATTCAATTCGTACTTCTCTTTTTTTCTATTACAAAATAATAATGACTTGTTAATTACAAAATAGATTGAGGATGATGTAACATAATACAGTTCATAGTTTACATTTTTTTTTTAGAAAGAAATTTTTTTAATTTTTACTTTTCTCTGTAAATATGTATCATTCCTCGGTCATTTTTTTGTTCTCTTTCTGAACTATTTTCTAATGGTTACTGTTTATGGTATTTATTAGTTAAGTTGTATTAACTTTGAGACCAGTTTTAAGAAAACATACAAAATGCGCCATTATATATTTGTATTTGTTTTGGAAAACAAAAAATCATCACCCTTTTTTTTAAAGTGATATTTAAATGAGAAATAGCATACTACATAGTCCACTTAGTAGAATCACCAAATAATTGAATTCATAAGTGTTCATTCCGTTTCATGTCAACTATACTAATAATATTTCATTTAATCAATATCAATTTAGGGACGAGAATACTGCGCAGCAGCTTGTTCTGTCCTACTTTACGGCTGAGAAACGTGGACATTAAGAATAGAAGATATTCGTAAACTACTAGTATTCGACCACAGATTCCTTAGAAATATTGCACGTATCTGCTGAAAACATCAGGTAAGTAATAGCGAGGTCAGACGCAAAGTATAAGGGAATAATGGTAAATCAATTGATGAGGCTGTGAATCTTCATCGACTGAGATGGTTGGGCCACGTGTTGTGTATGCCTGAACACCGATTACCACAACGCGCAACGCTAACTGGTGTTAGGGATGGTTGGAAGAAATTTAAGGGCGGCCAAACCAAAACGTGGCATCAGTCATTAAAGTCACTAACTTCTAGTCTGAGCCATGTTGTTAGATGCAGACTAATTGGTTGGGGTCTGCACGACTATCGTAACTAATGGTTGGAGACTGTGGGTGACATGGCTCAGAATCGATCACAGTGACGAAGGTGTATACGCTCTCTGTCTTCCCCTAAACTATGAGATTAAGATCGCTTCACATCTTTCTTTCTACGAACTAGTTCTTACCACCACTGAATTAACTACTTCTATGAATCCGGTGCTCGTCTTGCTGTGATCATGAGGTATGACAACTTGGACCAATGTATGTATGCGCCTGGTCCTGCGTTGTAACTGGCTGACTAACCAATATGCTCACTAAGTTCTCTGACGTTCATTGGTTGATTCAAATCTTTGCTATCTCCAACCTACCCAGTCAGAACATACGAAAGCTAGTCGACCTTCTTTGCAGTACTATGAATCATATGATACTATGCATCAATAACGACACTATAATGTACTGTAAATAAGCGATCATAATCTGTACATAAGTAAGTCTTCTGTGTTACAAACTGAGTAACAGATATAATAATTGGTTAACTAGTTTTTAAGCACTAAAAGATATATTAGCAATTGATGAGCTGAATAAAAGCTTATAATGAAGACAATACCAAAAAATACCACAATCCAAATATCTATTTAATATACAATAAACATATATACATAATAATAATTCCTAGCATATTCTTTAAAATTCCACCTTTTCCATTTATTCGTCTATATCTAACAATTACTATGGGATTTCACCATGAATTTTTTCTAAATGTGAATGTTCAGATTAATCAGAACTTAGTGAACCTTAGGTTTAAATGCCTTTTTTTCGAACCATGGGGCAAATAATTCCGATGACCAATCGTTTTACCATCAATGAATTTTTGTTATGTATGTAGAGTAATCCTATTGACTAATTAATCCAACAGTTGTGACATGTGATTTCCGGATTAACCAACAAATATGGTTAGCTCTTGGTTGCTAGTTGGATAGTATAATATAGCTCGGTTATCAAGGAGATTCTTGTCTAATAAGATCTGTGCCGCGCGCTTTTTGTATCAAAGCTAGTAAATCGTGTGTGAACGGATTCTGTCGGAGCTAGTTAAACCCTTGTAGTTTATTCTAGCTTCCGGACAAGCCAGTCTATTAATTCTTTTTAAACCACATTTACACCTTGTTAATTATTCGCTTTTCAACCTGGATTGTTTTTATATGAGCGCATGTTTGTGCATTTCCTATCTTATCCATCACATATCTTTAACTTATTTTCATCTGACTACGAATATCGATTAACGCTTGATAAAATCGAGTTGGCTCACATGCCTTCTCCATTGCACGTCATTTTGCTTCGCTTCGTCCCTCTAATTGTCTTTACAAATCAATGAGTATACAAAATATACGTATCCAGAAATCCATTTTCGTATTTGACTTATTTAATTCCGTTATTCATCAACGTGATTTAAGTCAATAAATATACGAGGATAACCTATATGTGTATTTCGATAACAGTCATTCATACGATGTGTTTTGTGCTTCAATTGGGCAAAGTATATTACTTTGATTTAGAAAGTGGGGTTTCGACAAGTCACCTATAGTTAGACAGTGCGAGGAACCAGCCTAATTAGGAGAGTGATGGGAAAGTGTGACTCGTTGGGGTTTTATGATTAGTCCAGGACAACACGTGATGGTGTCACTTTCCCGCGTTTAGTGTATCAAGGCTGGTATGGTTCTTCATCCGTGGGAGTAGATCACTTTGGACCTTTTGTGGTTCAGAGATTAAAATAATTAGAAAAATATATGAATGTGAGTTTACTTGTTTGCAAACAAAAGTAGTGCATATTGAAATGACGTACGGCCTAAATACTGACTCATCTATGATTTCATTTTCACGTTTCATGGAAAGAAGATTCAATAAATTTGACGCATTGTACATTTTGTTAAGGAATTTTACCAATCTGTGACCTATGTAGGATCTAATTTGTCCTACAGGTATACTACTAGACTGTTAAAGCTATACTGGCTACCGCAGAGTTTATATGAAAGCTATACATACGCATATACATACCGACCAGTATTGCGTGTCTTATCGAAATGAATAAAAATTATGAGTTACACTAATATAATAAGATAATAATGTCCTTTAATTGGCAGGTCACATGCAACAAACATAGTCTACAGACGCATCAGACCAGATTGACTTGGTGAGCGCTTAAACAACGATTTGATTGGTTAGTTGTCATTTGAATCGAGTATTTGAACCTCAATGGCTCTGTCCTTTCGTCATAGAATAATATCTTTGGTCTTTTTGAGATAAGCCTTAGCACAATTTAGTTTATTTTTTGAGTATATAGATGTCACTAATGATAGTTAGCTATCGTAGTTAAAATGTCTGTTAGTGTGAAGCATTAATTACAACAACTCTTTGGTTGAGTGTCAATGGGAAATGATAACGACGTAATAACAATTAAAACAACAGTGATGTAGAACCATAGCAATAATTTTACCTTTACTGAAAACGATGGAAAAACTCACCCCTTACACTTTAGGTTGCATTAAAGGAGCATAATGATCCATTTCAGTTCACTTACAAATGCAAAACAATCGCTAACGACGCTGCAGTTGTCCTGGTTTGAAAGTTAGTGTTTAAAGCAGGAGAAGGTGAGAATTATTTTAAACGTACGTTTCTGGAGCATAAGTCTTATTCATACGACTTGTGGAGATAGGCTTGACAAACTTATTTTGTAAATAGTTTTCAATGTTATTTGTATTCATTTTGTCAGCCTTCCACTGTATGTATATTTAACATTAAATGACTGTAACTGTTGTTTTAGTAAATGACCTTGAACACACTTTCCGTTGTGATTCTGACATAGCGTGACATACCGTTGCTGGCTAGCAAATACACTGCTTCTCACACATTCCTCGTTCTATTTTCATTCGTGACTAAGTTAACTGAGATCTAAAACAAATATTATTTACATTCATAGACTGTGAGTGCGAATACCTCATACCTTGCTTTGGATTACACCACTGGCGAGTTCGTCAAAACGTTTGGAAATTACCCAGTATTTATAATTGTGGATTTATTGTACCAGACTAAAGCTGAACACGCATCATTTTTGGGCGAACTTAAGTAAAGTCCCGTTTTTATTGTATTTGTAACATTTAACTGGTATATATTAATATTGCTATTGATTTTTGTCAACTTTGTTGATACTTTTTGCGTTTATATAACATCTGGTCCACCACAGACTGAATGGATAGGCAAAATTATATTCTTTAACTCATTGGGATCTTTGTTCAGAATTAATTACGTTTTTAATCCAATTTAATAAATATTGAGAGTAATATTTTTTGCTTTCCAGTGGATTTTACTTATTATAACATTATTTTGTTGAAATGTAGTTTTATTTCAAGATACGATGTTCTTGTATAAAATTGACATAAACTATAATGAGCACAACAGATAACATGTGATTTCCCTCTAACTCGCAATATTCTTCACATATGTGACTTTATTCAGATTACTAATCACAATAGGTGTACACTAAATATGTGTTGAGTGTATTTTCGACCAGAGTCCTTATCATGTTTTGAGTTCAATAAATTTTCGGTTTTACCAGCCTTAATGTTCTTACTTCACGTTGTGTAAATTGTAGTGATTTATTTTACTTTCGAGTGTAAGAATAGGCGACTTGGGTACGACATGTCACTTCAGCCAATCTGGGTCATCTATGTGAAGATAAAAATGTATTAAAAGATAAACCTTTGTACTTGGAGGAACTTTTGATTCAGCACATTTTACTGAAAATAATTTGCTGTCATCCCAAAAGCAATCGGATAAGCATTCTCCCAAATCCGAGTTAAACAAGACAAACCGTGGGCCGTAAGAGGTGCCGCCTGAAGATAAGCAAACTTTGGGGACCAGCCAGCGCGGTGGTTCACAGAATGCTTGAACTAGTATGTGGATGGAGCTCACGAACACTATATTCAACAGTAGCAATGGATGGGCATGGGCAATCACATCACCACCATTATTAGCTTGTCCGGGCTATCTCGTCCGTTACACCTCACTACATAATCACATCACTTGTCATTCTTTTATTATTGCGACTGGATACAACTGGTCTATGATTCTGTCTGAAGTAATACGTGTGATTGGGGATTAACTAATTGTAATTGGATGGTGCATGACACCGAAACCGGATGGACTGGTGAGGACCGAAGAATCTAAAATATGTAGTTACTTACTTTATCACGAGAACACGATTGGTTTAATGAAAACAATTATTATTATGACCAAATGAACCTGTGCTTGTTTTAATGTGCTTTTGTTTAACCGTGCTAATGACTGACATTTTGTGCTTCCATTACACTCCATTACTTTTCCGCGGATTGTGACCTCGTACGTTCGTACTCCTGCCCGCTCATTCCACTTGTACTTCTTTTGGCACGATCTTGGTATTCGTTTGATACCATGAGATCGCCAACAAAATGAATCTGGTTACGTTCAATCTTCACCTTCTGGTTTGGTTGGTACGCGTCTCATTGTAATGGTGTTCATAGTCAATCTCGACAAGACGCCAACCTACAAATAAATTCATGCAATTCCAGCAATTCATACACTTTTATTGAATTCATATTTGTGTCATTCGATGAATTCTTTGGATTATTGACGAATACCTGGTGTTACAAGCTTGTCATAAAGATATCGGATAAATGAAGAATTTAATGCAACTTGTGTAAAAAACGGAAACCACAAACGTGTAGACAAAAATGACAAGTTTAAGTCATTTAATTTTAAAGTAACTTCAATCTAACTGCAAACTGAACAAAGCAAAAAAGAGGATGAAATACAACATTCATTTTGTGTTTCAGGATACTGGAAATAAAGTCATGATTTCAACAGTCTAAATTTGGACCAAACATAAGGAAGCGGAGACTAACATTTCCACTAATTTTGTAAGCGATGTAGGTCGGCATGCCTCGCCCTGAGTCTTTTGAGCTGACTTTTGATTGTAGCTTCTGCATTTTATACTTCATTGTGCCGAACTCCCGTAATTAATTTAATGCTCTAAACGTCTGTAGTAAAATATTTGAATAACTTTCGTTTTTCTACTACTACTTATGTCAGAGTATTCCTTCCAGCATACCTTAGTGTTTTATGTGATAATGTTGATGCGAATTTTTTGGGTATTTTTCGAAAATATCAGGAAACAGCCTGCTTTTTAGGCTAACATCAATGTTTCTGCCGCTTGAGATATTTCAACTGTCCTCATATTCCTTTATGATTGTTTCTTACGATGAAATAAAACAATTTCCGGTTTGTTGTTCTACATGGTCTCATGGATATACCTCCCACATTAAGGATCTCTTAGACGAAGTTCGAGACTCAGGTACAACAATATTCGTCCTAATATTTACTAGCATCACAAGATATTCGCTGTTAGTGCTAGAAGTTGAATTATGCTGTTTCATCTTGTATTTGGAACGCAACTACCGATGACCATTGATGGGTGAGGTCTCTGATCATTACCTTCAAAATAACTGTTGTAACGGATGAGACTTCAGATTTTGATAGCAGCGTTTTATCGATCGATTACAGTGACACGTAAAACACGTAATGAACGACCTAGAGTTCTAATTGATCCCGCTTCCCTGTCTAGCCCAGCCAGTTGAGTCCAGAACACAAGTCTCAGCCTCGGATATATGAATCATTATATTTCAGACATACTCTATTTATATGCCAACCAAACAAACCACATCATACCATATAGTGGAAAACAACATGTGTACAATATTTAACAAGTGAAATAAATATCGACCCATTGGGAGTGTATATTTAACGTCCAAAGCCACCATTAGATTAAACATGGTAATTATTGGTATATTTTTCTGCACATCGATTCGGGGCAAAGTTACTTTTATACCAACCATCTCTCTTGATAAGCAAAACTGCGACCCCAATCTCATTCCCCAAGTAGATAATTGCTCTTGCGTAGATGCCTAGGACATGTGACAGAGTACTTACCCTTAAGGATAAAACCGCACCACCCTGGAACCACATTATAGTTGACATCGGAAAGCCAATAATTTGTAAACTTATAAGTCTACAAGCGTAAAAACCTTAAACTAATGTGGACTATTCGTATAATTAACATTGGAAGAGCAATATTCACAGAAACATCTATTAATCTATGTGTCAGTGTATAATTCAACAGTTTCGTTATTTCTTACAGCCGTCTGTTTAGTAAAAGGATTTGAAACGGAGTGAGACACTACACCGAAAATGAGGAACTTCCAGCCTTCGCACGTCTCAGACATCTGGACCTTTTAAGCATTGCTCTTTACATGAGTGAATTGATTAGAATGAAAAACTTTGGCACCCTCCCACTCTTTGAAAGAATGAATCAGTAATTCCTGACAAATGTGATTTTTAGGAACACTCACTTGTCTTTTTAGGTCATTTGGTCGGCGTGAAATGTATCAAACCAATCCTCGATGTTATTCAAGTAACTACCGATTATTTATCACCTAACTCATTTAGAAACCTATGACGAATTTTGGAACTTGTTAACATTTGTCGTCTTTTTATTCCCATTTTAGCTGCCTGATTAGATTGTAACCTGTAACTAGTAGAGACAGTGTATTTCCACAAGGTGCGCGACATAGGGCTTAGGTCAAAGCAATTTCCATACACAGTACAAACATACGAAGGCCAAACATATGTAGTGACCTACTTTTACCAAGAGAACGCGATTGATTTAGTTGAAACAATTATTATTGTAACCAACTGTACCAGTGATTATTTTACTGTTCTCGTTTGTTTAACTGTGCTAAAGACAGCCATATAATCACTATTGCATTGATTGTGACCTTGCACGGATTCGGTCACGCTCGGTAAACACGCTTGTACTCCTTTGGTACGATCTCGGTATCCTTTCTATACCACGAGATCGCCAGCCAATACATCTCGACTACAGCCATCAACTGCCTTCTGATGTTTGGTTTACGGGGGATTTTATCGGTTAACTGGTACGTAGTCTTCTTGTAGTGGTGTTCATAGTCGACCGCGACTCAACTCCATGCTACACAAAATAAAGGGAAGGAGGACGCCGTTACTGACCAGCAAACATTATGTTGGGTAGATAACTTCAATCCACTCTTGTCAGTAGGGCAGGACATTCGGTTAAATCATCGCCACTTATGGTCTGGCGATGTAACTAGCCAATGAAGTTAGCGCTAATTTGTTACGCCGAACACTATTTGATTCATGCCTGTAACTTTGACTTGGTTTCACTTCCTACAAAGAGATCCTATTGCAAGTAAACCTGGACAATTATGATAAATGGGAGTCCACTCTTGGCTCTACAAAAATGATAACAATGAAGACGAGCTTTAACAAATTTCACGAAAAAAACAGTTAATATTCGAACTCTATGTTTTCGTAAATTTATAAAATACACGTAATACTAAACTTTCAGCACTTTTGAATCACCATCGTTGATACAGCCTTTTGTTCACTCGACACCATACCCTGGTTTGTTTTCTTTAACATGTTGAAATATATTTGCTCAGAAATCGGCTTAATAGAAAAGGATAAGTCCAAGTGGTCATCCCTGAATTATTCCGTCACAGATGACTAAACTTTGCTAGTCATGAACATTGTCTGTTCTACTTATAGCTTTTTTCTTTTTCTCTCTCATTTTTTAGCATCCTCACGGTAAACTACGGAAGACATGTATCGAACACGTAACTTCTTTATTCATCATCATCAATGCCTTCAATATTTATCTGGAAACACTACCAAGAAGCACAATATCGCACGTCAAGGTTAACATTTCTGACTGACTAGTTATGCACTTACGACCTATACTCTTGTTATGAACAGCTCTGGACTTTACTTGCGCTAGTCCTCAACAACAAATTGCTTGTTTCAACGTGACTTTCGTAAAGTGCACCAGCTCTTATGTTGAAAATTATTATTTTAGTTTGTGAATATTTATCCTCTGTTTCTGTGGAAACTGTATTTTAAAGCATATCAACATAATATATTAACTCATTAAATGAAAGCCAATAGAATTTGTAATACGTTTACCTAAGCATTAGGGCATTACTCTTGCATTGATTCAACTATGAACTTTTAATACCCAAAACATGCATCTGATATTGCCGTTAGCGCAATACAGCAGCAACAAATGAGTAGAAACCAACAGTCGATTGTCTTTTTTATATAACATTTAACCCAACGCAAACCAGATAGAACACTTTCAGAAGAGAGTAACCAGCTCACCATTCAGACTCATGTTTCCAATTTTATGCTGGGTTAGCCATTCTACTAAGACAACCTAAAGCATGCTAACTCGGATGTTGCTTGGTGAACAATTGATGAAATCAACATGATCATCAGACAAATCAAGGACGGGTAAACAACAAGATCAGACAACTCGCCATAAATATCACTGAAGTCAGTCATAAAGGTAAACTCGAAGTCGTTCTGAATTCTATTCAGAAAGACCTGGGGAGAAGAACAAGCACCGGCGGATTGATAAAAGGGATACCTATTGGATATACCAGTGAAAGGGGATCACAGAAAGTGAGAACTACAGAAACATCATATTACTATCAGTGCAAGTAAGCTTTTGACAGAGTGTTGTTGTACCAACTGAAAGATTTAGTGGACGCCCAACTTCGAGATTAACTGGTCAGATTCCGGAAGGATCAATCGAGCACAGACATTGTGGAACCTTCTTTAACACTACGGAAAACCTGAGAAGACTGTTGACATCATACGAAACTTATAGGGAGAACCGTACTGCAAATTCAAGCATGAAGGGCAACCTACAGATATTGTTCAAACAAGGACCGGTGTCAGCCAAGGCATCTCGTGCTTGACTGTGTTGTGAAGACTCCTATACTCCAGGGTAAACCTGGTCTACAATGGACAGCTTGCATGCAGCTAGATGATTCTAACCTCTATCTCATAAACACCGGCTAGGACAGCCAGTGTAGCAGAAGCCTCTGCATCAGTAGGCCTTAACATGCACAAGGGGAATAGCAAGATTCTAAAAAAACACAGAGAACACCAACTCAATCACATCAAATGGAGATACTCTGGTAGATGTGGAATCTTTCACGTACCTCAGCACAATACTCGATAAAGAAGTAGAATCTGATTTAGATGTAAGGGCACGGATTGGCAAAGCAACAGCAGCACTTCTACAATTGAGGAACACATGGAACTCAAACGGACTACCAGCCAACATCAAAGTTGAAATTTCCAATGCAAACGTTAAGACAGTCCTACTGTAAGGTGTTGAAACCTGAGGCTTTCTTGGAACAACTTCGTTTGATCCGGATATCTTTCTCAGAGTAACGCTCGATGATAACAACCTTTTTCCAACCGCGGCTCGGTTAAGCCTCATCTTACTTTGGGGCTTTATCGCAGTATTCAGTGACCCAGATTGAGTCTGCAAAAGGTTTATCAACCAAATGGACGCTGTTTGTGGTTATTCACTTTTTTTTGTGTCCATTTCCATTCAGACGGGAATACATAGTTGGTACATCTGGGGATGATGACGGTGTTTTCTTGGCCTTCAAATACTACTTTAGGATTGTGGCCACCAATATCCAGTGGTATTTCTCTCCTTATTAGTTTCAAAAGAGACTTCTCTTTTGTATGTTGCGCACTCGAGTGGTTGGCTCGTCTTAAAACAGCACTTACTACTCTGACAAATCCTTCATTGTCACTGCTAATGTCACCAGTACAGCCCTCATCATCTATATTACTGGCCAACGTTGGAATGCTAATTATCTCTTGGGTCAGCAATTTTCTAGTCGAAAGGCGAAATATGCGAATTCAGTGAAATACAGGTTTCGAATGTATTTTGGGATTTAAACAGTTGCGTATCTTGTGGGACCACTTTTTGAACTCATCATATTGCGTTCCTCGCTCCAGAGGAAGGAAGTAGTTTTACTGTCCACACTTGTGAAAATAGCCAACCATTTCAAGAAAACTTATAGGGAAAAAGTCGACAAAATAAACAAGATGACCACCAGTGTAATAATTAAACAAATAAAGAGTGCCACAAAACGGATTTAGGGAAAATTCTGAACTTTGGCGGAAATAATTCAAGAAACAGTTGATCAAGCATGTTTTCGACGCAATGAATACATGGGAAGCAAAGTTGATTCACAACAAGTACGAAATGAGTGAGAACAAAGTGTACTCTCGTTTTGGACTTTATACCTGGCGATCGACCCAAGTGAGGTGGGGCATTATCTTTTATACCATTATAACTGTGATGAGGGGCACGTCTATCGACCTATCACTTTATTTACTCACATAAGAAATGTAAATGTTACTTCGGCGAAAATTCCACTCCATCATCGTACGGACATTACTAGTGCTGGGCAGTAAATTGTGATGGAAGAAAAACCACAACATGCCAAAAGACATGCCTTCAGATAATCCCATTATAAAAGTTATTTCAAGGTCTGAGAAATTGAATGAATAAATAAATGAAAACGCAAAGAATAATTAATGACTAAGATATACCTAGATGACCTGAAAACGTCAAGCTTATCCCCAGGTCATTTTTGCAACACCAGTCAACAAAGTTCTTAAGATAGCATCAACCATAGGCAATATGTTGTGCGACTCTGGGAAATTCAGAATTGTATGACTTAAAATTCAGTAGGATGATAGAAAAAGTCAAACATACACAGAGATTAAGACAAGGCACCAAGAATCTCAGTGTTGCGATTAATACACAAAATGTTCTAAAGTTCAACAGTGATTGAAACAAATAGTACTGAAGAATTCTTTGAACCTGTTAATACACTGAGAAAATTACTCCTCAATTTTTATTGGCTTTCAAAATTATGCGTTTCAAAACGGCGTGACCTTTGGACACCACCATCCGCATGATTTAATTGTTTTCTTGTTTTGCCAATATACATATTATCAACACTGAACTTTTGCTGCTTGAGTCTGATTACTATACGTCCGTACATTTAGATATTGTGATATCTCTAGCAGTTGTGTTGTACAGATTTGCAACATGGATTGCGTCTATTTTTATGACCATTTGGTGATGTACGTTTCCTATTATCAGTTCTTACTTTTTCAGATTCCGGAAAATTGATTATATCGAGTTAAAACTCAAAAAGGAAGTTCAGGGGTATGATTCAGGATCCCAAGCAAGCGAAAATACGCTAAACCTCGTATCCCAACTTTTAACTGAAGCTTTGAAAGATCGTGTATCGCTCGTTTGTCCCATCAGAGTTTGCATAAAAGGCAAAGTAACTTCCGAACATTTTTGTAATTTCAGAAAGACCTCCATGGCCTAGGACTCAAATATATTGGACAGCTCACTCATGCAATCCTCACCAAAGGTCCTCCAAGTAACACTCCGGCTGGTAATGAATTTCGCCAGTTTTGGGGCAAAAAGTCTGAACTTCGACGTGTTGATGGTGATTTATGTGAATGTGTTGTGTGGAATGGTAATTCTAATGTCTGCATGCAGATCGTCAATTTTATTCTAGAAGAGTAAGTTTCTTGATGTTTTCCGATTAAAAGTTTCCGGCTCGTAATAACTTAGGCTGAGAGCTGTTAGGTTGTTCGCATAGAATTCTTGAGATTTGCTGCGCAATATGTCCCACAGACTTGGTGAGAATGGGAACAAGCTTTTTCCCGAATTGATTTAATATTAAATGCTTGTTTCCTGGTTGTCTTCCATTTTTAATTCTAACCGTCCTGGCTTTCCAGGCTTTTATATGTGGGAACCTTTGACAACTAGTTGTCACCTTCCATAATCCATTTTCATTTGTTAAATGAAATCAACCGTGGCCTAAACTATTCGGATTTTTCCTTAATGTTTCTTATCCCATTGGGATACTAGGTCAACCAGACATGAGTAACGTAGAGACTGGCGTTCATGTACATGGGTTGCTACACCATATCAATACATCAAGATAAGATTATCAGGACGAATTTCAGTGTAATATTACTAGTGATGGTAAGGAACATTAGGCTTTCCAAGTACCCGAATAAAAAGTACGAGGTAATTCTAAAACCTGTGCTATAAAGGAAGATATTGAATGCACGTGGTCTGTTGGGGTGAATTCTGAGCCATGTAACTCAAAGTATCAAACACTGATTACGATAATCTCGTTCGCTTATCAGTCTGCTTACGAAAGTCATAAAGTATGGCTGGCACACGTCACGCAGCTTTTTGTATTAAGTCGTTTATTGTTAATCCTGGTAACACTATCGTTTCCTAAACACTAGTGAGCGATTTATCTTACTCTACTTAAATAACATTTAAGTGTTTAGAAAGCTGTAGCATAAAACACTTCACTGTTGTAACAGAACTATGTTCAGTCATACACGGTATATGCATTAGACTGACCACATCTTGGTTCATGCGTTCACTAAAACAACTTCCTATTTGGCCAGTCTACTTTCAGCTATCTAGTGTGAGATTAATAGCGCAGTTCTGTCTAATTTTGTGCTTGTGATGCTGTTATTTGGACGAGTTTTTATCCATCTTTCTTCAGTCCTAAATTCAAAGCTTGATCTTTGTTTTTATTATAAATAGATGAATAATAGTAAATTAACTTATTCACCAGGTACTTGAATATAAGAAGCACTCTAGATGTGAGGGTTAATGATACCATGCGGTTCTCCAAACCGTAGTTTGCATTTTATGTAATCCATTTATCGATTACATTGACATATACTCGACTTCGAGTGGCTAAACGACAGTGGTTAGTGCGAAAGCAGTAGTCAACAATAAGTAAAGGTGTTGGCATGTTATAGTGTTTTAATGGAACTGAAGCATTGAAATTTTACACTTACTCAACCTAAGCTCCTACGAGGGTTATTTTGTGCTTAAAACTACATTTAAATGTTAAAAACAAAACTGATAAGCTAACCTACCAAGTCGTTGAATTATTAGAATTTGTTTTATATAGTTGTCATTGTTAGAAATTTTAGCAGTCACCTACATGTAATAAATTCTTTATCTATTTAACTTCCTTTTTTGTGTTTTATATGTTGTATCTAAATTTTTGCTCTAGGAAATTCCATTTATCTTCAAATGTTAACGTATCAAAGCCGTGGTATCACATTTTGCCTAATCGTCTTGATCCATTTATAAGCTTGCATAGACGCAACCGAAAAGTCAACTTAGTTGCTGCCTCACCTCTTCGTCTGATTAGAGCAATGGATAAACTCCGAGCATTACTACGTGGATTAAATGATAAACTTCCCCTTAATATTACGGGGATTTTACCCTTATCGTCAGCTTTTCGTGACACTTCGGTTTTCCCTCCTGTATTGTCTTTTCCTATGGCTAACCAATCACATCACGGGATAAAAAAGTCATATTTTCAAACGGTTAAATGGTTATTGAGAAAAGCATGTTTTCCTGTGTTCCCATTGTATGGTAAGTAGTTTCGCGTCATTTAGTTTTATAACAGGAATTTGTGTAATAGTACATAGTCCTGTGCTTATTTTAATTTTTATTCACTAGATATCCGATCAAGTCATACGAACATAATAAATCACTGAACATACCAATTGAAATATCCTTTTATACGGTTGTTATATCTGCTAGAAATAGAAATGCTGTCTTAACACTTATCTACTAAAAACACAAAATACTAAGTTACGGGTATTCACATAGTGGTCCACTGAAATCTTACATTCTGTCGAATAATAAAGGGAAAATGGTAATATTAAATGTTTCTTTCTATATAATGATAGCAACTCATGGGGTCAGAGTATTACAATATCTGACTGTTGACTAGTTAATCAATCTTCTAACGGATAAAAACTTGTGAGTTACAAATCTCTTGACTTTATTGTGGCTAAGTGATGATTATCTACAAATCCGAATAAATGACCCAAGCCCACAATGAACAAATATTGAGAGATTAACTTGTCAGGAATATATACAACGAAATGACATACTTATATACAGAATATTTAACAGAGTAAACATTAAAGTGTAAATTATTATTGGATTCGGGCTTCATATTCTTTATTTATTTGGACACAAATATTGGTACAAAGAGGCACCGAATACATATGCGCCACACAGGTCACTTGATTTGTGTATGAGCTGTGATACTGCTCGGGTGCCCAGATCGAAGCAGGTGGTTTTCTTAGGGTGCCACACCCGAAGCCTTCGACCTAAGGGTCTAATCCACAAGGTAATAGAGCAACGTAAGGAGATGCAGTCTCATAGTAGCCGGTGATCAACGATTGGTTCATACGCCATTTGTTCCTTCAGGATTCTAGAGTCCATGTTCAGTATTGGTTTGGAATGAGGGCTTTCCAACTCTCCTAGGCGAATCCTTATCCTCTCAATTTCGTAAACAACATCCCCTCCGCGAGCAGGCAGTGAGTAGGACTTCCCTGGCAGTGGTTGAACGTGTGAGAGAGTTGACTCTCCCTACCCTCAGCTGTACCAGGGCATTTGGGGGCGGATTTCATATTTACAGAGTAATAAACTTCAAGCATTATAATCGGGTTCATTTCTTCCCCTTTATAACAACCGACTTTCGGTATTGACGTGGAAAGACTTATTATATCCTTTTTTGTTTATGAAAAGCATATAAATGTTCACTTAGGCTATCAAACAAATTCGGATGAAGTAACAGGTTGTAATGCATTATTATGAAAATTCTTAAACGTATAAATGATAAACCAAGGTTACTGAATATTTTATATGTATTATAAAAACACAATCAGGCTGTAAGTAATCGTTCGAAATCTTTTCTGAAATAGGGATGAGGGTTTATCGGTAAATAACTAGCTTTGCTGTCAACTTGATTTGCTGCATATATTATTTTTAGGTTAAAATAGCTATTTCCCACTTACATTCAACCAAATTAAAGTACTCGAAGGATTATTATTTTTGTTACCTACCATTTTTGTGAATGGACATAGTTAGGACATAACTTCACCCATAACACGCTCAAATCTTATTTTTCCACCACGGCATTTCAAGTGTCAGGATCAGTTGTAGATTGTTCTTGTTTTTATGAGCTTTTTATGAAAGTGTTTTATTTAATTGTCTGTAGAGTTTCAATAGAATTTAATTAAATCAATTCTGTTATATCTTAGTGAAGATTAAACTACGGGTAACTTCTGAGAATTATTAATGGACTAATATTCTATATATATTCTTATTGTATACCTATTCAGTGACTAGGTTATATATATCTACATTCCCCTTATTATAAGCTTCATTTTGACCTGTAGATTATTATTGTACAACTTACTGTTCTTAAGTTATGTTCGGTTTATTGATTACAGTTTCCCATGTTCATAGCCACTTTTTGGCTTGATATTCTATAAATGTTATTCCCTATTTTATGATGTGATGCAGTCCGTTTGGCTGATATATAAACCAAGTATGTTTGAAATAAATGATTCGCATAGTGGAAGCGGTTATTGACCTTCCGGACTGACCTGGAAGGGCTAGGAATACAAAGGATCAGTAGGGATGTTAAGCTGCGCATACCGGTCGAACGTCTTTGGTTTGGTACAGTACTACGATTGAATAAGTCGTATTTCGATTGGCGAATAAATCACTTGATAATTAGCCGGGCTTAAAGTCACAACAAACTCCTGTTGAGGAAGAATTACCATTCACTGATTTCGAACTCAACCCTCCCTACTTTAGTTTATCAGGCATTATGTAATTAACACAATTTATAACTCATTTACTGAGTTGTATTATTGGTTGTTACTGCTTAGTGAAATTCTAGATCGATAACGGTTCATTTTTTGCCTTTTTAAGTTATAATTCACTTGGAACAATCTGGAAGATGGCCAAACGACTTAGATGCATTCCGACATATGAAGCGATTACTAGTGATTCGTATGCATGAATTGCTATCACCTAAAGGAATTCCATCTCATGTTACCGTCGATAACATGCTGGATATATTTTTAGTAAGTAAAGTGTGGATTAGTATGAACGTTTTCTAATGAATAAAGTTAACAATCTAAGCAAATTTGTCTCCACTATGATGATGCCGATGAGAAGTAATGGAAGACTCAAAAAGTAAAATGGAAAACCAAGCTCAATGATCTCTGCAGCTTATAAAATACTCACCACTCACAGTAAAAAACGTGGTTACACTGTGCTTTGTAGGAGCTGAATTCTATTGGATCATGTATAAAATTTAAACAATTATTTAAGTAAATTTATATTTTGACAGGATTACCATTCACTGTGGTAAAGCTGACCATGTTAACCAAGAGGACTTGAATCTTTTCCTCTTGTATATGTGTTTACATGTGCAAGTTAGTCAGCTGTTTGTAGACTTCAATAAAAGCCATGCTCTTATCAAGTCTGAAAAAAAGTCGCTATGTCGTACAATCTATCCAGACATTATCACTGATCTGCTGCATGGTTTCCGACAGGTCTCAGTCTCCGATAAAGCATAAAATATCATAGATGGTTTTGCTATGTTACTTTGCTGTCTTGTAATCGTTAGATGCTATGCTTCACTCGAATTTATTCGTATCAGAATAATAATTGAGTACATACCTCAGTAACCAGAACAACAAAGACAGTAATAGCAGTCTTAGATTTCGCATAGGATTTCCATAAGAATCTTCCATTATATTCTCGATACGTCTATTAGCACTGATTATTTTATTTATTTATTTGAACACATAAATATTGGTACAAGGAGGCACCGAATATGGCACTGATTAGTTGAAAATGAACTAATCAACGTATTTCAATCTGACCCTGATCAGATCATTCAATAGTTAGGATTCTATCTTATCAACAGTTTGAGAACTTAGTCTTGTTCATCTAGGTTAGTGAAGATGGGATTAAAATTTTAATTTTCGTTTGCAATAGTCATCTCTGTTCAATTATCCAAGATTCTGCAATTGGTGATGACACATCAAGTAACTTAAGAGAATTATGATTTTAGTGAAAGTCATCATTCACTTATTGATCATTGGCAATCAAAATGTTATTTTTAACTGCATAAAGTAATTACTTTGGCGACATTTTGGCTATTATCATGTACTCCAAATGTTCCTTTTATAAGTCAGTGATGTGTTTATACAGGGTCACCCATTAATTAATAATGAAATCAGAATTTTATAGTATTTTTCCATTATTATTATTATTACTTGCTTTCCAACTTAAATGGATGCATACCTTTTCTCTATCAAACATGGATTATATCTGTCATTGTACTTGATCTATTTATCTTTGTCAATTGTTTTCTCCAAAAAGTTTTTGTAATGTCGGAATTATTGTTAGTTAATGATAATATATGGTCAGTGATATGATTCCAAAGTAGGTTTAGTTTAGTTTGTTGTGAATTGTTCAACCATTTCGTAATAGTCATCATTTTTCATCAATTCAATCTAGTGAAAATATCTTAGAGTTGGATTAAAACAACAAACTTTTATAAATTTAACAAAATATCAATTAGGTAGAAGTCGATCATTGATCATAAATCTATTCCCTGTCTATTCAACGATTGTAATTACACTTATCTATGTAAGCTGCGTCATTGTTTCAAGTATTCTTATCAGTTGGAAACATCTTGAAATTACAAATAATAATGTGGTTAGAAAAAAAGATTTTCATGAAGTTGAGACGCAAGTTCAAAATAATGTATAAATCTATTCGGATATAGTATGGAAAACGAAGCCATAATTAGTAGTGACCACTGCAAAAAGTTTTTAGTTACTTAACTGAACAATATAGAACATAATCAGCTCAGTAAGTACTAATTAATGGATCGGCAAGAAATGAAATTCATTAGTCAGTGAGTCCATCTCATGAAAAATATTTTCATCGGGGCTAAAAGAGTTTTACCACATGATCCTTCTATGTAAAAAGGTCATCTCGGCAACACTTCATGACCAACGGTCTCTGTAATGCAAAATAAACTAGGTACTCATTCTTCACTCATTATTTTAGTGATAGAGTCCAATCAGTTTCTGCAATTTCCTAAGCATCATACGCGTAATTAAGTGTGGTGGTAAGCACCATCGATAACTTGAAGCTCTGTCATACTAACACTGTGCTATAAGTCACAATTTCTGTGTAACAGTCATATAATACTATGTGACAACCCATAAACAGCAGTAAGTAAAGTGAAATTCGATTGGGTTGTTTCCATTTTATTAAAAGAATACTACACTGGTTTTGTTCTCTGAGCTGGATGGTTTGGTCATGGAGCTTTCATTGTTATTCTGAACGACATCATCAGCACAAACTTTGGGTTGAAGTGAAGTGCACGAGTTTCTCTACATATGGCTCACAGCTTGTCCTGTAGACCTCGGTCTTGACTGGTTATTGTTGACCATTAACCTGCCATTGTTTATTTTTTTATTTTGATTGTATCTCCCGTTGATTTGATTCTTCATAATTTTTCTGATTGGTTGATAAATTGGATAGATTTCAATGTGCTTATTGATGGCTGGTTGAACTGAGTGCCAAGCTTCTAAAAATTCCCTGGTGTTTTTAGAGTTGATTCTATCTAAGATCTCAACATTTTCCCAGTCCACTTTATCCGATGTAGTGTTTTACGCAGTTCGAACAATTTATTTTGTAGAGGATTTTAGGTCTTTCTTCTTTTGTCATTTCGTTCTTTGGTTTGCGTAGGATCGATTGGAGTGATTTCGTTGGTTTGTGTGCTACACCTATCCCAAAAGGCTTTAACAATCTCGTTGTAATTTCTGATATGCCTTTTACATATGATAGGATGATCTGTTTGTTAGTTTCTCTACTTAGTTTTGTTTCTGCTGATGCGTTTGGTCAGCATTTTTTTGATGAAGTTGATTGGGTAACCGTCCTTTTGAAAGTCAGTCTTTAGATATATTTCTTCATTTTTCCGCGCTGCGTGTTGCAGTGTGTCCTCACCCTCTTGAACAAAGTTTGTACTCAGTTGATTTTGTGATCTCTTGGGTTATTGCTACTGTAATTGAGAATTTGATCTGTGTGTGTTGGCTTCCAATGTACTTGAGTCTCCAGTTTTCCTGTGTCGGTTCTGGTAATTAATACATTCAAGAATGGTATTTTGTTGTTTGACTCCTGTTCCATTATCAAAGACGTTAATCAGATTGTAGGTGTTGATGTCGTTCAGCATAACAATGAAAGCTCCATGACAAAACCATCCTGCTCAGGGAAGAGAACTCCACCAAAATCATATACCTGAGCTACAAATCTCCACACAGATTTATTTTTCAGCTGTGTCATCTTTTCATTTACTCTCTACTTGTTCTATAATGAACACTACTTTCAAAGTAACTATAGCTTCATGTTTACTAGATTCAACAGAAAGTATTTTGTATACCTGGTTTTTATTTGATGCGTACATAACTTTCCACGTATATAAATATTTATCGCTTTAGATTACTCTTTAAACGTAGCATAGACTTCGTAACAATTTCATGACAAATAAAATTTTCAATTTGTTTATTTTTAGCAAGGACTAGTATTCCGAATCGTAATTTCACAATCAAAAGAACTTAATTTAATTCAGAAATTAAGTAATTCTGAAATCAAAACAGATAATAAAAATAAAACACTTTCGGAGACTGGTGATGGTAGTTCATTATCTATTGAAATAAATTCCGAAGCTGCTTGTTGGATTCGTCTGAATCAAAGTTTACCAACATTAGCCGGTACACTTAGTGGTGTTTCACGTACTTATGCACATGTGTTTCCTATGGCATGTCGATTAGCTAAACGTTGGTTATCAGCTCAAGGGTATCCAGTGATTCTATGTCCATATGAAGCGGAACTAGATGGTCTACATAATTCATCAGATTTTTTTCCACAATCTGAACAATGTTCGTCTGCACTATCTACTTGGTGGTTAAAAGATTTTAATACAAGTACCAATGATGGACGTATAACTGAAGTGGCTGTTGAATTATTAGTTCTTTATGCTTCGAAGCTATGTGATTCTGTTGATTCCGAGTCGAAGGAAGCTAATCTTACTTCGATCGGATCACCTGTTGCTGCATTCCTACGATTTCTTGATTTATTGGCTACCTATGATTGGGAAAACGCTCCACTTCTAGTTGATTTAAATGAGGGATTTTCTGGTTGGTTTTCACTACATTTTTTTCATGCTTTTCCTTCTTAATCTTCGGAGTTTTAGCATAAAGGTAGTCAGTTTCCCATAGTTAAAAATGTATGTACTGTTTGATATTACAAACAGTTCTCCTGTCTTACAAAAAGAATAATTTCAAGACAAATTTGTTTACTGTTTTTACAAAATCAACTGTATTACATTATCTAATGGATGATATCCACAAGGTTTTATCTAGGTTCATAACAAAATTCTGCTGTCCAAACGGTGGTATGTAGCAATATGTTTAGATTCATAATCTAGGTCACGACCACATAAATCGATCCCAATTCAAACATTATCAGTTTGTATTGTTGTAGTCTTCGGATGTCTGGGGATTGACTAGTGTTTCATATTGAGCCTTTGCACTATAATCCAATTGTTTACGTTTTTCGACATCAGATAGGTCTCATTCTAAGCCACTTATCTCCAAAATTACTAGAATTCGTCTTTTTTGTTATTTAATCAGTCATAAAGTAGACGCCAAGTTAAAACTGTAAATTATGTCTTCGAATAAGATGTATCAGCGAGAAGTTCCTTTTCGATGATACCATTTCTTAATCTTTCATATTTTATTTCATTTTGACTACCATTGGGTACTGCCTAACTTTAAATTCTGACTAACTTTTAGTACTTTTGCTAGCAACTCAATAATTCTCTATTTTTATTATGGACCACTCTATTTAGAAAGTAACTCCAAATGAGTGTGTGGGCCTATAGTAAGTGATATCGTCGAAAATAAATTCCTTTTCGTTGAAAAGTTTATTTTATTTAATAACTCAATAAGTTGTTTCTTTACTGTTTTAAAGGAAATTTATCAGTTATAGCACATAAAGTTCTTTATTTATTTATTTAAACACACAAACATTGGTACAAGGAGGCACCAAATAGATATGCGCCACATAAGTCATTCGATTTGTGTGAGGGCTGGGATACTGCCTGGGTGCCCAAACCGAAGCAGGTGGTTTACTTAGGGGGCCACACCATGAGCCTTTGACCTAAAGGTCTAACCCACAAGGCAGTGGAGCATCGTGAGGAGATGCAGTCCCATGATAGCCGGTGACCAACGATTGGTTCATACGCCATTTGTTCCCACAGGATACTGGGCTCATGTGCACCATTAGTTTGGGACCCAGTTAAAGCGCCGGACATTCGCTTTTCGTCCTCTCATTTTCGTAAACAACACCCCCGCAACGAGAAGGCAGTGAGTAGGACTTCACTGGCAGAGACTGTATGCACGTGGTCATGTGAGAGCATTTTGAGAGGGAGGGCGGGCCCACCCCACTCGCGGCCATACTAGGGCATTTGGGGGCATCAGCTGTAACACTTAAAAATATGTAGCTTTTGATATTATTCAGATCTACTACTTTTCACACTTCATGTCTTACATGCACTGGTAGTTTAGTATTGATTAGTCAATGCTTCTGACAAACTAGTAAATTCGGATCGATACCGTATTGTAATAGCCAGATTTATTGTAGCATAACTCTTATAATGTAAAATTTTGTCACCTGTTTTATCCCCGTTTTTGTAAGTTGTTTTTCACTGCGTTTTCACTTTTCTTTAATTAATGTGGTTCTTTTTTTCAATCTTTTATCTCCCAAGTGGATATCAACAAACGTCAACTAGCTCTGGATTTATTTAATCGTACACCTCGATGTAATTTACCCGCTTTAATCATATGTACTCCACTTGACACAACTGGAACAGAATGGACTGAAGTAGGACCAAGTCGAGGAGGTCTAAGTGATTTGAAATTGCTAGCGAGTCAGTCACGTGATTTACTAAGAGCTATGCTTGTTAGTAATGCTCCGATTAATGATCTACTGGTAAGTAGTAACCTTCTATTATTATTTTATGTTTTGATAACGATTGTGGTGAATGATTCCAGTGTTCTTTGTTAGTTTTGATTTCGACGAAATTAGCGATAAGTCAACCGAATGGTGGTCTGTGCTCAGTAATTTGGGACTTTGATTATTAATTATCAGGTTGTAGATTTGTTGGGGATGCTAGATCCCCAGAAATCATTTGGTAAACGACTCTGAACCTACGTGACCACTCATTCTCGTATACCGTCCAGTCATTAAGCCAACAGTTTGCAGATAACTCCTCATTGTCCAACACATGTTATCTATGATTGAAGCTGGTTATGAATGGAGACGCTGATTTTCTTACGTATATGGGCATCGTCGACCGTGAGTGTGAACGCTTCGGACTGAAGTTACTGACTGAAGACCAGTTTAAAGCCCTCATCCTCATCTGTAGTCTCCAATCTTAAAACTTCAGTGATATTAGAACACGGTTACTGTGCCGATTGGATCAACACCCCAAACTAACTCTTACTGATATTACAAATCAATATCAACGTTTAATTAATCTGCAACGCGACACTACAATGGTTCAGTGTGGTGGTTCCGATCGCTCGGAAATTCATGTAGTTCAGCAATTATCCAATACAGTCAAGTCTGCCCCTGCTATTTCTATCCCATCTCACCTGAGCTCAGTCCAACGGACAAAGACTAATCGTCCTGCTCCCTGCTGGCACTGTGGTTCAAGGCATTATGTACGAGCCTGTCCGTTTAAACAATATCGTTGCGGAAAATGTAAATCTGTTGGCTAAAAAGATGGATTTTGTCAAAAGAGGAAACTAAATCGGTCCATAAGTACTAGAAAGCCTTTTTCCATATCCTACACAAATTCGTTGAGCCTATTAGCATCCTGTCAAAGCTCAACCCCAGGTGAAATAAAATTTATTACCCTTAATATTAATGGGCATCCATTTGAAGTGCAAATATATACTACATCAGACATTCACATTCATGGAAATTTTGGATCAAAATGGACAGCCCTCGTATAGCTCCAACAACACAAAAGCCTCGCACTATGTGCTAATTATCTGTGTTTACTGGGACAACTAGATTGCAAAGTGTTTTTCCGTAAATCGACGTTCACTGGGGTATGTTACATAACGCCAGCTGATCTAGAAAGGTGAATCAATAAAGTACGAGTGATTGACTTATGTTGTGCATTAGTAGTTATTCGGTAGTTTCAGATGTTCAGGGATATATATTTACAGTATGCGTCCGGTAGTTGATCTGGGCACCGTATTATGATGCAAGTCCTACAAAGTAGAACTTGAATAGTAAGTTAAAGTTGCCAAACAACATTTTTTAACCATAATGCAGGATTCACTCCAAGGAATCAAACACAAACTTGTAATGTATGGTAATTTTCAAGATGACTGCAAGTTCAAATCATTGATTGAATTTAATTTCTTATTGATCCAGGTCATTTTTCGTCCGGTCTTTAGTAAAACTGATATAGTACTCAATGTCAAAGCAAATATTGTAAATATTCGTCAGTCAGAATCGTTACATGGAGCGTTGAAAAAAACGCAGCTTGCTGTTCCTGAAACTAATAATGATAGTGACGTACCTATGGAATTCCCAGATCCTGGAGCCCGTTATTGGCCACAAAGATACTGTTATGATCCACTGAATTGGTTTGTCAAATTATTGCGAGTAAGCAATAATGTTATTACTTGATTTGACTTGTTATTTAGTTAACGTTGTCTAAAATCTGTCATTTCAAACTAGTAAAGTTTAAAAATGCTGAGTTATTAACAGTGAATTATTTATTAAAAGCGTTAAACATCTCATCGTCAGTAATCCATTAGGTCTTAAGTTCGATAACAAGCGAAAACCCGGTTGATGAATGTTCCTTGTTTTGAAGTGTCGGAGTTTCCTAATCGTTAGTCTTTTTCTCTGAAACATGGATTTATACATAATCTAAGGACACTTTAGTAAAGATTTGGAATCTGGATGGCGTAAGTCTACAGTTTTGTGGTAGCAGTGGTACACGAAATGTAGCTACGTCGCTTTGCGTATGCTGTTAGTTTATTGTGGTCTAGGATTCTAACCACTGGGTTGAGCGTACTGTTCTCAACGTCTAAGGACCAAAAATCGGGCTTATTCTAATTTGTTCTATGAATTTGCTGAAAATCTTTGCCATCATTATTAGATTTTTTAGTCAATAGGAATTTAGGCAACAACATTTGTACTAACCGTAATATTTGATCGTGTCAACTGATTATCACTCGAGTCTGATTATCTACAGTTTCACATTATTTCTCATGTGTATGTTAAAATTCATGATGTAGATTTTTTGAGGTTGATGCATCATTAAATGTAAGTTCGAAACTTCCAAAACTGAACTAATTAAGTTGCGCGGTGTTCACACACACCTGTCGTATACTTTATCATACGATTTTCCGTTATTTAGAAAAGTCTTTTGAGATATTCTTACAAACAGCATTCATGCATAAAGTTACTAAGAGTTCATCTATTTTATATAAGGGAACTGCATGTTTAATAGTTATGGTTCACAATATATAGAAATCGGTAATTAGTGACGGACAATCCAGGTTTGATCTTTGTGTATTTGCTTTTTAATGTTTTGTTCTTCTGACTGGTTTTCATCCAGTAGTGTTCAAAAAGCTTGACATTTGAATAGGATACGCCAACGTCTTTCTGTAAGCCTAGAGGTAAAATAATATAGCTTATCGATTAGAAGTGGTCACTTGTTTACCTATAATCCTGGTTAGAAATTAGCGTTATTTTCATTGATATTCATCTCTGTTAAATTGCAAAACTACTGTACAGAAAAATTCAGATTCAACGTTACACAATTAGTTTGTAGTAACAGGTTTACAACACTACAATTCATGCACCTAATAATGTAATCACTTTCACTTAAGAAATTAATCACCTTTTAGTTTATTTGGATTGTGGCTAGCAATGGAATCCAGAACATGGGTTTCCTCTTATCCAAGAATCTTCATCTGGATGTAGCTGTTTCTTAAGGTTTGTGTTAACACTGAAGCAATAAGTACTGGGGAATTACAAGCCTTCACAAATAACTTCATACTAAGCGAATAAGTTACTAGCCACTTGGACTGAAAATCTTAGTGGTAACTTAAATGTTTAAAGTGGTGGGTACTGAGTTCGAGCCTTTAGCGTGAATGTCGTCAATATAAAGGTGCAGGTACATCCCGTATGGAATGGGTAGGGAATTCTGATTTCCATCGTTAGCCACAATCTTAATATCTTAATAAATTATGTCTACGAAGTAATGTTGAAGCAATCTGTTATCAAGGAGGATTTTATGATCGGGTTTTAATTTGTTACATTGAGTGAGCGGATTGCAGATTGGTAAATAAAACATTTATTTAAAGTGGTCAAGTAATGACTGCTTATGAGACCATGTTACTGATTGAAACCCCCGAATGAAACAATATCAAAGACAATTACTAACTGGAAGAATAAGCTTTTTGTCTGAAAAAAAATTAAGATAATCAGATGTCAAGAATCGTTGGTCAACATCACCTTTGTAGGCCGCTTACTTTCCAATGAATTGAAACGTAACTATTAGACTTAGCTCTTGCCCATGATATCACAGTCTGCTCAGTATCCACATATGCCAAAAGAAACTGATCCTTTTCTTTCCTTAATATTAACAGCAGGATAGTAAAAACCTAATCAGTTCAGCAACTCCTTCGATTTCTATTCCTATTTGGGTTCTAGTACCTTAAACTGTTGTGTATGATTATTTGCTAGTAAAACGAACTTACAAAGTATTTTATCTCTCAACATAATTCGGTATTTTAAGGAAATACGATTATTTTGACGCTGAAAGTCCAATATTTTCGATCATGTTTTATACTATTTGTTTGCCTCGTCAAGTTACGTCTAGGCAGGTTTTTTGAAATCCGTTGGGATCGTCATGGCGGAAATTGGATAGCTCTACGATGGCGTCCACATTTCATCCAAACAATCAATTCAAAAGATCGAGTTACATTAGTCCAATCAATATTCAATTCCGATTTGTTGGATGGTTTAACTCAACATGCAAACGGCGGTCAACTTACTGATTTAGTTTGTAGTAAACCATCTGATCTACCTCTTGTATATAATGATTATTCATTGGTAAATTTATTGTCTGTATGGGCCAAGAAATTTATTGACTTGCCTATTAATTATAATAATTTGACAAACGATATTAACATCAGCAAAAAACGAAAACATAACATATCTGAGGAGAACACAACTAAGTGTATGAAGAACAAAAAGAAAAAAAACTAAAAGAATAATTAAAGTGATGTACCGATTATTACATGTAAATAAATAATTAATTGACGTTAAATTCTATTTGTGCATATGAGTATTTGTCTAACTCTGGTGTTATTGAGTTGCTATTGATCAGTTCAACCATTCAATTCTGTCATTTCTCCAAACTTTGAATTCTTCCCACTTTTGCTTCGTCAAGATGATCTGTAGTCAATCCGGTTCTGTTATCACATACAGCTTCATCTAATTAAGCTATGAGTTACATCTCTTGTGCTGTAAGAGTTACTGACCCCTTGGCTACTCAAAGAGAACTGCTTCAAACATTGGGTGTGTTCCTTTTAAAAATCGATTTCTTAGACCACTGAGATTTTTTTCTCTTAACTTAATTAATAATCATGAAATATGACTGACCTGTAAAATTTGCTAAGTAGCTAAGTAACTAGTAACATATTACTTTGACTAGTCACTTATAATATTGATAATAGACTGTGTATGATCGACTGTGGTTGATCGACCAAAGTTGTGTAGCTGATTGTTAAATTGTTTATGTGTTGGTCAGTGCCATTGAGATTAGCTCCAAGTTTTACTTTTCCTCATTTTCCTCATTTTCGAGGACTTGTTATGAAAGGAGAATACCGTTTTGTAGTCGATTCGCATTAATAGCCTGTTAGTATTGATTTGACTTTTATCTGAATTCGTCTGTGTTGTTATTTGTGTACACTTATGTTATACTCGAGTAATCGAAATCCCATCCGTACACTTGTAACACATGTTTAATTATGACGTTTCTAAAACGGGATTTGTCAGACAGTCAGTCAGTCAGCTACAACGTATTACCAGGCACCTATATGCATCAGTCCAAGTTGCTATATCTCATTAGCACAACATGATGATCATCAAATTCAGAAAAGTAGTTGCTGCAAAGGTAGTATTATATGTAAGAAAGATTGTGTATAAGTGTTTAGTACAGGAAAAAAGAATTAGAAAGAAATGTATATTGTAATTGTAATCTCACGGTTTAAGGGAATACAAAGAGTGTATACACCTATGTCGTTGTGATCGATTCTGAGCCATGTCACCCAGAATCTCCAACCATTGGTTGCGATAGTCGTGCAGACCCCAACCAATTAGTCTGCATCTACCAACATAGCTCAGACTAGAAGTTAATGACTTCACACTCATTTAATAAAGAATCAAATAATTGAACTGTTATCGCCTGTATGCTTGTCAAAAACTGGATATACTGCTCAGGAGTTTATTGTGAAATACATTACATGAAAACAAGAGTTGTGTAAGTTGTAATTTCTTGATTATGAGTATCTTCGAGGCATTACTCGTATATAATAAACTGATACAGAGAGTATATCTGTGGATTGTAAACTAGCTAATAATTTTTTAAGTCACCGATTAAGTTGGTTGAAACAAGTACTACTCACATCCACTACAAATGAGATTACAGTCTTTTACTTTTCATCTTGTTAATCTTATCTCGTTAAAATTGAACGTCTGCAGTCGTGTGTACATATATGGATCAGGTCTTACACTGCATTTGACTATTTAAATGTCCAAAAACGTAGAAAAATTAGCTATCGAGTACTTCTTAGTTTTCAACAGTTCTGCGGTTGATGTCATTTCGTGGTGAGGAATTTCTTTAACACGTGATCACTGAAGCGTAGAATGGTTTTGCTCGTTGATTGCAAAAAGTGGATTTAATTGTCTAAGTGGTGGAATGAGAAGATGGATTTCAGCAGAAGAATATAATGTTTATTAGCACAACATATCTTTGAACGATCTAATCACATATTCATTATATAAACAATAATAATGTCGAACTAAATGGTTGAGAACATGTGAAAGAACTGTATGGGTAATGAGGAGAAAATGCTTATTGCACCACCATCGATGCATAGTATCATGATTCATAGGACTGCAAAGAAGGTCGACTAGCTTTCCTATGTTCTGGTTGGGTAGGTTGGAGGTAGCAAAGATTTGAGTCAACCAGTGAACGTCAGAGAACTTAGTTAGCATATTGTTTGGTCAGTCAGTTACAACGTAGGACCAGGGACATACAGAAATTGGTCCAAGTTGCCATACCTCATTAGCGCAGCAAGACGAACACCGGATGCAAAGAAGCAGTGAACTCAATGGCGTAATAAATAAAGGAAAGATTTGATGTAAGGATATAGTAGAGAAAGGAAGAATTAGTTCGTAGAGAGAAAAATATGAAGTAACTCTAATCTCATAGTTTAGGGGAAGACAGAGAGTGTATATACCTTCGTCACTGTGATCGATTCTGAGCCATGTCACCCACAGTCTCCAACCATTGGTTACGATAGTGGTGCAGACCCCAACCAGTTAGTCTGCATCTACCAACATGGCTCAGACTAGAAGTTAGTGACTTTAATGACTGATGCCACGTTTTGGTTTGGCCGCCCTTAAATTTCTTCCAACCATCCCCAACACCAGTTAGCATTTCGCGTCGTGGTAATCGGTGTTCAGGCATACATAACACGTGGCCCAACCATCTCAGTCGATGAAGATTCACAACCTCATCAACTGATTTACCATCGTTCCCTAATACTTTGCGTCTAACCTCACTATTACTTACCCGGTGATCCCAGTAGATGCGTGCAATATTTCTAAGACATCTGTTGTCAAATACTAGTAGCTAACGAGTATCTTGTACTCTTAATGTCCACGTTTCGCAGCCGTAAAGTGGAACAGAACGGGCCGCTACTCATTTTACTCGTTCCTTAATTGATAGACGGATATCTCGCCCTCGCCGTAGGTGACGTTGGTTCACGAAAGCCAAACGAGCTTTCTGGATACGTGCAGATATTTTGTCAGACACCAACCTTTTAGGGCTGACCAAACATCCGAGATAAGTGAAGTCGTCGACGCGTCCTACTACTTCACTCCCTATCCTTAGTCCAAGTGTTGACGTAGACCAGTTCTGAAGCAACAGCTTGCATTTAGAGGGAGAGCAGCGCATCCCAAACATCCTGGCATTGTTGCTCAGTGCTATCAAAAGACTGCATTGTGTCAGCGTTCTCACCAAACAGGACTATGTCATCTGTGTATTCTAAGTCGATAAGTGGACCTCTGGTAGAAGATCGATGCCCTAAAATCCAGTCAACGAGGACATTATTTCCATCTGTAGTTCTTTGATGAAGTTGAACGAAAAGGTAGATAGTGGATAGCCTTGACGGACACCGCTTGAGGCTGCAAAATCAGATGACAGTTCGACATAAACTCTGATTCGACTGGTAGTGTTCAAATAAAGAGACTTCACAAGGTTTATATACTTCTGAAGTACGCCTTTCAATGACGCACTGCCACAGAACCTTCTGGTCAACAGAGTCAAATGCCGTTATTAAGTCAAGAAAGACCACCATTGTCGGGCGCCGATAAGCATGTCTGTGTTCTAAAAACTGACGAATTGGGAATATGTGGTCGATGCAGTCACGACCAGGTCTGAAGCCAGTGTGTTTTTCTCATGTTTGCAGTTCACGAATCTTTGTTAGGCGCCCGAAAATTACTAATGCTATTATTTTAGATGTTATGTTAGTCAAATTAATCCCTCTATGGTTATCACAGGATGATTTTGAACCTTATATATAGGGGAAATTATTGATTGCGATCAGTCAGATGAGATTACGTCCAACTCCCAGATTTCAGTAAAAATGTTAGTTAACGTAATAACTCAAACTAGACCACCATCCTTAAAACCCTCTGGAGCCAATCCATTTGGATTAGCTGCTCTTCCTCGTTTTAGATTAGTTATATCTTTCTGAACTTTAGCTAGAGTCGAGGGAGAAATTTTCGTTTTAGTCCCGTACTTGTTGGAGCCTTATTCTACTGATATCCGTATCAGTAGAGAAGAAATTAATCCTTCTATGAGGACATCTATGTTGGAATCAAATTAAGAGGGATAGAGGACTGTCCTGGAGAATGTCACTTTATATTATCAATTCTGATGATAGTTTTCCATAGGCTAAATTTTAACCAATAGTGTTAGAGTAGAGAGCCTTTACAAGATTGATATATTTCTTTGGTACACTTTTTAATGACAACACTGTCACAAAACCTCTTAGTTAACGAAGTCAAATTCCGTCTTAGGGTCAAAAATACAATCGTAGTTGTAAGCCGGTAAGTATCCTTGTATTCTAGAAGCTGCGGAAGGCTGAATATTTGATCAGTAAATCCACGTCCAGGACAGAGAGCAGATTGATTTTCCCAAGCATTAGATAATTATAGAAGCTGATATTTTAGGCACTATATTAGTCAAATGGATTTTCTCTATCATTGTCATAAGTGAATTTTAGTGCTTTCTTAAAAACTAGGACTGTCAGAGATTTAATTAACTCATTCACCAGTACTTGCGTATAAGCCACACTGTGTGAGAGCTGGTGATATTACTAGGTTGTCCAAACGGAAGTAGGTGAAGAGGAGTTCGACCCTGAGACTTATTGTCCGAGATTCTCTCAAGCTCTATCTATACTACTAAAACTGGACCGACAAATGGAGTCAGTGTATCAGATTCTGCTGCATTTCCTGAATTCAAGTTAGATATGGTCTCTATCTTCACTAAGAGTTGTGAACTTGTGTCGAATCCCTATTTAGGTCGTTTCGAGATAGCATGTAACACATAGTTCGACTATTCCTTAATGTCCTATCAATCCTTTAAGTTCCTTGGATTGAGAATGGATAATAGCTCTATCTTCCTCCAAAACGGTCTCGCTAATACCTGAATTCCTAATTACATTTCCATTGATGAGTTTAAACATTTGTCTGGTGTAACGTATTGTATTTTTCTTTCGTCACCCACTACTGGACTGAATGCTTGGTTGATTCATCACTGAGTTCATTCTCGACCTTCACCTCTTCGATTTAGTATCTAAGAGACCATTCTGTCGTAATATTTTTATGTCCAGTAGAACTCATAGAAATGCTAGTTCTGAAGTTGGTCACCATTTTATGTGCCGGGATGCTAAAAGACCCATCTAATCGTTTTTAGCTTGATTTGGCCTATCAACTCGGTTGCTGAGATTACTTACCGGGATTATTATATCTAAGCACTTGGTTATTTAGAGGAGGTAGGAAATCTTCTTGTAAAACTCATCTTCACTCCATCTGAGTTGGATTCAGTGAAGGGACATATAAAAACAATGGGAAGTCAACAACATATATCTCCATCTTTCGGATTTTCTGTTATTGGCCAGTCACACTGGGTTCTTTTGTCGGTAGTTCTAAATATACTAGTTTCAGACCTTACTGCTATTATTTTAAAGTCACTTTCTTCTAACTCTTTCCTTCTGTTTTGGTACGGCAAGGAAAATCGGTACTATATGTAAACTAAAATTTAGTGTTATCAATCACATTAGGAATACAGTTTATTATCATGGTAGATATAAAGGAAAAGAATTTCAACTTCTAATTAGACCTTTTATAATTTTATTTTTAACAATGATCATTTTAACTCATCCTTTTATTAATTTTATAGTTGAGATTATGAGTCAGTTGAAGCTAGACCACTGAAAAACATGGAAGAACTGGGCGGCCATTTCATCCTAGTATAGGACTCCTCAGCAATGTGCATACTAGGACGAAACGACAGTCTAGTACTTTCAAATTTTCCATGGTCGTCTAGCTTCAAATCCCCTTCTAATAATAATCATCCTTTTATTTTATGATAGTTCAAATGATCTTCTGTTAGATTTTAATAGAATTTCATTTAAATAAACTAATTTTCTGATTATGATTTAAAGATAATCACATTTGAGTAAAAGTTCTGATTACTATGACTACAAATTGTCTGGTGTCTCATTCTAGTAGAACTTTCTAATTGGTCAGTTAAAAATCAAAGCATAGAAAACAAACACAAAAATTTAGATCTTATATGTTGAATGTGTGTGTGTTTGTCTATCTAACCCCTTTTCGAAAACAAAAAAAACCAATTTATTAACCAATCAAAATTTGAGTTGAAGATGATTGAAGTAGTTTGATCATTCAATGTGAAAATATACTTTTTGATTAAAGAGTAAAAAAAAATTATTCGACAGTTGAAGATGAACATGATAGAACTTCGTTTATGAAAATTAAATTAGAGGAGTTATCTTTTTACTCATATTGCATAATATAATTATAAATAATTTTATCTGAAATAAAATGGTCAGAGGAAGTGCACGAATTAAAGCTGGTGGTATAAATATGGCTCAAGATGGTCCACAAATTATCAAACCTCTAACATTAAATATGAGTTTATTTCAATTTTTAAGAACTGGTTATTTTGAAAAAGATCTATTAACTTATTGTGCTAATCGTCTTGCTGAATATTCATGTATATATTGGCTTGATCCTACAGTGAATGGAAATAGTGATTCAATGGAATCGAACTTAGCGTTTACAACAATGACTAGTAAGTTTTTAAAAAAAAAAATGTTTATTCTGAAATTACAATGATTTGTTGATAGAATAAGTAGACAAAGATTAGTTTAAGTAAACGTTTCGTAGTTGTCCACATCATGAACTAACCGACTGAAAATCCAGGAACAGGAACCTGCTAGGTTACCACTATGCAACAGAGCTCACTCACAATTCTGTTTTTTTTTTATCAAACTTAACATTTTCAGATCTTCCAGTGAGTAGGCTGATTTTAAGTCTCAAGTGAAAAACAGTAGATGGTAGCATTCAACTATGTCAGGTACGAAATAGTTATCTAAGATGACATTAGTTAATTATGTTTGCTCAGTTTATTAATTAACTGAATTTAGAAGTGAAGATAATTTGAATTGTTTCTCATGAGTATTCAAAGGTCGTCAAATCGATTTAACGTCCAATGAAAGTTTCACACTTCTATTTAGTATCAGAATAGGACAAACAACAGTTAAGAACTCTCTATCTGATTTACATTGACTCTCATACCAATGACAATCCGTGATGTCTAACTTTAAACTTATGAATCTTTGCACCATCTCTATACTAATATCTAAACTATCTTTTGATACAGTGTGACTTATTCAACTATTGTTAAGCAAACGTTTTGAAAGATATTGACTCATCTGATATAAGAAAACTTTGTAAACTACCACGTAATAAGTGTTAACCATAAACAATCTATTCAGTAGTTCTATATGACATATATAAACTCTGAATTTGATTCTAGGATTAAATGATAGTGTTTTCTTGAGTTAAGTCTTACTACAGTTTCTTTTCCAAAACCATTTATTTTCTACAAAAGATATATATATATATATAGTCAAAAGTAAGGACTACTTAATTATTGAAATTTAAGTAGTAATAACCTTTTTAGTAAACCAATGAGTTATTGTTATCACTCACTTAAAATTAATCTATTCAGAAATATGGGTTAGTTGTATTTTTGTCATGAAAGACGAATTAAACGTGGTTGTTTTAATGTCTATGAAGAAACTTAAAACGATAGAATGGCATATGAATAATTACCTGTTTTCAACTTGCTTATTATAATGACTTGAGTGTAACTTATAGATTTTATCATTCTACTAAATCCAATATCATTCATATTAGGGGATAAATTACATAGTGGTACATGTGATCTTGTGTTACTTAGATCGGTGACCGCACTACAATTTGATCAGTACTAAAGGACTAGATAAACGTGACATTGGTCATTACTGTGATCAATCAGTGTAAATATCTCAGTTCTACAGGAATTCACTCACCACTCAGATGGTTTAGTGTTAACATTTCAGACTATTAAACTAGGTGATCCACATTGAGATCCGTTAGGGAGCGCTGGTTCCTCTAAGATTACAGATATACTCTACTGACAAGCACCGACTACCTCTAGCCACCTGAAATCAATACACAACAATATTACGAATTCAGAGTTATTTGTATCATTAATGGTAAAACAAATAAATTCAATATTAAGTCATACAACATAGTTATGTTATTCAGAAGTGTTCTTTAATAAATCATTTAATGCTTACCATTTTACAGTCAGGCAGCCTACAAATGATGATAGTGTTATCAACAGTTACGTTGGAAAATAGGAGCGATAGCTGAAAAATGAAGTGAATGACAAGTTTATATTAACTATATAGTTTATTGAATGAAGTATTAGATGAAAGGTTAATCAATATTCTTGGCGGAGATCGTGAAGACTTATGGTTTAATTTTTGTTTAACTCAAAGATTTAGCTTGCTAAAATTGATTCAGTATACATATATAGAAACCATACAGTGAAATACATGGCCTCCTTTAAATAACTCAAAAAGCTTTACTTGGGTTATCTGTGTATAGTAAATTAAATTGACTTAATTGTCTTTTCTCTATACGCGAAGCAAGGAGTTCGCAACTTGAAATAGTAGTTGTACGGATTTTGTTACTGATCCTCATAGCACGTCTGGATCAGCTAAACTGATAGTTTTATATGTAAAAGAAAAAATCGCTAAAGTTGTCTTTATTTCTAGTTGTTCAAACTGAATGATCGTGAAGTAGATGTTTGCAAGGAGCAGATATATTACCCAATAATTTAGCTATAATTGTCAGTTAACGTTGTAAATTGTATACACATTAAATTATTAATGGTTTATGTGCACGGCTTCCAGTTCAATCCTTCAAAATCCGATCAACATATAAGAAAACATATTGTTTTCAGTCAGAAACACTAATATGTATATATGAAAATGGCTAAACCAGTCAACGAAGTTTATTAGTTAGTGATAATTTGGCTATTGAATCAACTGTGGACTTATTATTAGTGCATAATAAAATCTTCGTTTGTAGTATCGCATTTTTCCTTACATCAAACCATATCAGCTTTATTCAGTTTAACAGCAAAAGTATTTTTTTCCAGTTACAATAGTTGGGTGTACTACTTGGACACGGCGAACGTCTGCTGAATACTTCACCGACAACATTACCTCCAATCTCTAGTCTTTTGTTCTAATTTGTCAACTAATTCAAAATGTCGTTTAAAAGATGTTTTCTGTCTGATGGAAAGACATAATGTGTGTGTTGTTCAGAGGAAGCAGGTAGTTGGAGTACTACAATTATTTTCTGTGATGATTCGCATTTACCAGCTAGGTACTTTTTTATCCTAGTGGGAATTGATTTTCCAAGTAGGTTTCGACCGGATGCCATCATTGTTATTTCAGCAGTGCCAACATCAAGGTATTCGGGTTGATACTAATGTCATTTGGGTTGATATATTTAATCCAATCGATCAGAAATACATATTTAATTAATTAATAAATTTGAGCTATCACGAAACCTAGATCTATGACCTTGCACCAAATACCTCCTACTATCCAACAAAAAAAATTGCGTTTAAATATTCTGTGTAATTTCAACTCAGTTTACCAGTTGTTGATATACTCGATTAGTCAATCTGTTGTTAATTCTTCCAAGTTTATGGATACAATTGATCGCGAATTTCTATAAAATTTTGCACTAAATTTTCCCTTGATTCCCATCTCTTCATCACCATTATTATTAATAATAAACCTTAATTCATTTTTGCATTCTTTGTTTAAATCTCCCCATTGATGTTTAGGATTTCAATTAATCAATCCCTCATTGACGTATGTTCATGCTGTGCGTATTGCCTTGAGTCACAAGTATTATAAGCAAAGATGGATGGTGATTAGTAGTGCAACCAACTCTGAGATGTATATACATCCAGCTAAAGAGTTCCAAATAAACGAAACGCGCGTCCTGGATTCCACTACTATCCACTATCCATCTTTTCTTATAATAATAAACCTGTTTATTTAAATCTAGAACAATTATCCAGTGAAGTGAACATACGAAAATTATGCCTCTAGTTTTTTCTTCTCTCCTTGAGTAATTATTAATAAAATGCACGACTGATTATTAAAAATACCAACCTCTGATAAGTATTTACTGGTTTTATGTCAATTCACTGCATAAAACGCGAGTCAGAATGAATGACTCTTCGACAGCGTGTCTGACGACAGTTGGTAGTTGCATAGCAGCATGAAACTTTACAGCAGACGTGATCTTTAAGTAGTGTTTTTCATGTTTTTCTTCAAAGTACATACAAACATAGGCGAATGATGGCAATTCACGGACTAACATGAATTCATCGTATTACACTTTTTCAGTAATTATGTTCACTCTAACACATCATGTATGTGTATGAAAAGGGTAAATCATTCAATACATTGTTATGAATGTTCATTGATTAGTGCATTACTATAATCTAGATAAACTAGGAAAATATGTTGTTCAATTGTTGGATAATCTAGATGGTTTGATTTTTGTTTTTAAAAAAACTTATCTCTAAATTTGATCTTTTCGTTATGAGAATAACCTTCAGATCGATATAATGGTTAAATGAATTTTGATTTGTATACATTAGTTATCCTATGAAAACCTTATACATAATTCAACATTTATATATAATATACATACAAGTGCAGCAATTTGGAAGACTCTCCCGGTCTCCCACATCGTACGAGCATTCCATGTACCTAAATAATTGGTTGCTCTGGTTGTCGGAAGGGGCATCAGACTCGTGAATTCCGAAGGAACTCGGTTTTCACCATGGGGCGTCATAACTCTTCTAAATGAAAACCTAACTTCCAGGGCAGAGTTTAAATGATTTTAATAACTTTTTTCTGGTAAGCGTATTTTTAGCGAGTTAGCTTTCTACGGGATGGGGGCGATAACCCCATGCCCAACCCTCCTCCTTTATCCGGGCTCGGGACGGGCAGTAGCCCTAGAGGGGCTCCAGGCGGAGTTATACATACAAGTACGTTACAGCAAATCACACACAAATTTGTAACTATACTGAGAGCTGAACCAGATAAATTTTTATAGGATTAATTAATGAGGAAATTGTGAGTTGAGATTTATTGCACTTTATTGCATATTTACAGTATAAACTTGCTTACTACGTGATTCCCTTTTCAGCTGTTTTTTGGTTTTGTACGCATGGATATTATAAGTGAACTAGTGAAAAAGTAAACCTGTGATGAAAGTATTTGACTAACAGCTAATATGCCATGAATTTTAAACCTTATCCATTTGTTTTGGTTTCGAGAGTCGGATAACTCCATTAACTCTCCTACTAAATTTATGTCTCAAAGACAAGTATACGGATTTGTATCCTATAAATGAGTTAAGTTAATAAATCAACTGTGAGTGGATTTAAAACTTATTGATGGAATTTTTATATAAAACATTTTGGTTCAATCAGTATTTTTATTCAATAAGATTATGAAAATACCTTCATCACAGATCGATATCAACTGGAGAACCAGTAAAAGTAAAAGTCGTGGTGTCGGACCTCACGAAACTACATACTGATGACTTAGTTAATTAAAAGATAACACGCATTATGTACTGAACAATAAATTGCTTTAAGCTTAACACTAGTTATATTTAAAGCTCATCAGTTATATCTTAGGTTTATTTTCATCATTAAGTGTTGAGGTTGTTAATTAAGGTTGACAATATTACGCGCTTAACGTTAGGAAGCATTTGATTGAGAATCGTGCACCTGAATTTGTTTTTTCTTTACTTAATAGTGAAATTTATGTAAAACCTTATAGGAACTTATTCTCCTGTGATAACGTAAATAAATGATAAGTTTAGTCGAATGGATAATACACAACATCGACTAGTATAATGTTGTACAGAGGATGTTTGGAATTTAAAGTATGGCATAATATAGTAGGTGTTAAAAATGCATCATATTTGTCTGTTCTGATATGTACATCATTTGTATCCTTCAGTTGCAATGAATGATTTTGTCATTGTGCTAACATCTCAAACTTTAAAGAGTACAATTTCACTAAAACATCAAACAGATTACTTAAAATTATGCTTCTTACATTATTGGACTACTCCACTATGCAGCTTAACATATCTTTTGGAATCATCGAAATTTACATTTGAGAGTC